CTTGCGGTTAACTGGGATAATTCATTTAGCTTTACGTAGGTGTAGGAGTTGCCTTTACAATAAATTCACTGTTAACAAAATCTGAGATGGAAAACACGAGGACCAGTAATGCTTGTTTCACAACACCACATCATCCTTATGTAAGACACCGGCTAATAAAATACTATATTACATCTTCGGTTTTGGAGCATTTCTCTCCCACGTCAGGAACTGTACTAAACGGTTAATCTTGTGTACAGTAAGAACTTGAGTTCAAAAATATCTGAAAATAAGAAATCAGAAAAGTTTGCGTTATCCCAGGCACCAACACTGTCATTGGTTTCACAGCCCCTTTTGAAAAGTAGGGGTCTTTTAATGTAATCTCGGATAGAAATCGTCGTATTTTGTTTGTTTGGATCGTTCAGTGCGGCTGTTTTGTTGTTGCGTATTCCGTCAATATTCGTGCTCTGTTCTACATTTTAATGCCGCCGTATATTTTGCGCGTTCAGTTGCCCTTACATAGTAAAATGGCGCAAAAGTGCAGTAATAGTAAGCTCCTGCTCAAACAATGCATCATGTCAGTTCCATGCGTGTACTTCTAAGTACGTAGCTGTAGGAGCAAAGCAGTGCCAAGCCAATGTGATTCAAAGGCCGCATTTCTCTCGGCGTTTGTAATGGCCCTTGGCTTTAGGGTTTAGGTTAAAACTACAATGAAAGAAAGGGTCAAACATTGGAAAAAAATACACGTAGAAGTCACGTGGGCGGTGATGACTGGCAACGAGGCTACCGATGGACTCTTTTTCTATTCTTCCCCGCTTCCCTTCTAGCTTTAGCGGAATACACGATCCTGCATTTTCTCTTTAAACGTTTAGAGCCCCTTTTTTCTTCTTTTTTTCACCTTGTTTGGCGCCAATGTTTTATCGATATAGTGTCGGTAAAAGTTAACCTCTTTCGCCGGATCAGCTGCGAATTAAAGGCGGCGGTAAAGTAAACATTTCAAACCAATACAAGGATTTGAAGTTCTTAAATGAAATCTGATGTGCTTCCGTAGACATTGGCAAATACCATTTTAAAATGGCCATCAGAGATGATATCACAGGCGTGAAAAATTAAAATCGCCTGTCGTTAATGCCGAGGAATGATGCGAGTGGCAGCCAGTAAATTGATAACCTTTATCAGTACATTTAAAGAACTAACAACGCCTTTCGTGGAAATTAATAAGTGGCTTTCAGGACAACCGTGCGATCAGCGCTATTTAAATTTTGGTTTACTCAGTGTTGTTGCTGTTTTTTTTTTTTATGTTTTTTGTTTTTTTTCGTGTGTGTGTGTGTAAAAATGATTCGTCGTTCAAGGATAGTTGTAATAAAGGTTAGCCCCATCGAAGAAAACAAACTCTTAGTTTCTCTTAATGCCTAGAAAGCATCCATTTGAAATACCATCCCGACATATACTTCAAAATGAATATGAAGCCATCTTTTCGTTACCGATAACAAGCATACACAAAATCTTCAATTGAATGGTTCCAGTTCAGGACTGAGTTAAAAAAAAAAATTAAAACTACCTCCAGATTTCAGCACACTACGTTATAACCAACTTCATACGAAAGGGTTCACTAGACTGAAAACATTACAGTTACCTCTGGCAGTGCGTTAAGTGATATTTTATTACATGAAAGTACTGCCCAGTTTTTTATTCGTTGAATGGTCACCAACAAGTGTTTTATCCAGAAAGTCAAATTTTTGGCATTGTGTCGTATATTTCACAATAGTATTTCGAGAAAGTCATAAAGAGCTGCAGATCGAGTTCGTTTGAATTGTACAGAAACGCGTACTACAAGCCATTATGTAGATAAATAATTTGTTGCTCTAATTGAATATTCACACTCTACAGTTTTACCCGACGACGAACTTTACTAAATCGTGGGTTAAACATACCTTTTGCAAGGCCTCATAGCCAACATCGTAGAAATCTGTCTCAAAATCCTCCTGAACTTCCCCTGATTTAGCCTTTTCGTTGTTAATGTCGTTGATGGTGCATTCGTTGATGTCATTGCTGTCTCGCTTTCTTTTGAAATTAAACGACCTGCATCTTGGGTCTCTGAGGCAAGCATCGGCACACGTGTAAGGTGACAGGGCACCCTTTAAATTGTTTATTTCGTGCCCTTTAAGTTTTATATTCTTGTACCGATAACCATTCAGAGAGGGTCTGTGAGGACACTCTTGTGTGTACGATACGAGAAAGAGAAACAGCAGCGAGGTACAGATCTCCAAGTATGTCATCAGGGTTCTATTTGCCAATGAAACTCCGCTTTGTATTAGAAAGCTTTGATTTTCTTTTCATGCGCGTTTTACTTAAGCCGGGGACATTTTAAAGTCCTCTCCAAGACCTTTCACACAGAATGATCCCCAGAGCCATTTCGTAAACCATCAGTGAGACATCCTTCACACTAATCACTTCAGGTATAATTTTCTTGGTTTTAATTTCAGTTTGAATAAGAAGGAGACGTTTACGACTAAACCCATTCTAGAAAATATTTACACCCTCTTAATTAAAACTTGTGTCAACAAAGGACAGGTTATATAACCTTTGATAAGGCTACCGAACAAAAGAAAGTGAGCACCACCAGCTTTTTGAGTAAATATAAGAAATCATGATTCTTAAATAAAAGCAAAATGAAAACGTTCATAATTCATAATAAATAGGTCTGACATTTGCCATACTTTTGAAAAAAAAGTGTGAAATTTCAGATTTACAATCGATAAATTATCAATTATTGATAATTAAGTTGAGTAAAAGGATTTCGTAACTCGACGAGACACGCGTTGTTTCGAGTCTCGAGGTTCTTTTTGTTCGTCACTATACCTGCCTTTAGTCGTCAATCTCTGTCGTCACTCTGTATCAATTCCATTGTTTTGGAGAAACACGGGCTCTTATGAAAAACACAAAAGTCTTGACGGAGACAGAAGGGTAAAAAAAAATCTATGTTATGCAATAAAGGTATTGAACATTGAAACATGCACAAGCCACCTTTACTAGAAATATTTTATAAGGGCTACCCGTTTTAATAAATCGTGCAAAATTTTCCACCTTATCATCTCGTGCAACAGTCAAATTGCACTTTAACAAATGTTTTGGGCTCTCATTGTCGAGGGAAGGCTAAGATGCTTGTCAAAATCCTGAGAGAATATTGCGATGAGGTGTTTGTTTCTTAAAGCACTTCATTTAAGAAATAGATAACTTGGACAGCTGGGATTTGATAAAGTAGAAATTAATTAACTTGCGTAAAAAGGTTTAAATTTATTTACAAATTAAACTCCACAAACGAGATTGAAATTTACATTTCCTTTCATGATCCTTTTCTTTTCACTCTTAGGACGTTTTATTCGTGGCTGATGTTGATAGCAAGCAGGACGCGTGGCAGATATGAAATTAGCAATTCATCATATTCATCACGTAGTTCTCTATAGCTCAGTGGAAAAGTGTCAGAGCACGGAATCCAAACATCTGAGCTCAAGCATCGTGGGATGACTCAGCTTTATTTATTTTCTCTTTGCATCACGCTCAATGACATCCATCTTTCATTAGCTTTGTTTTTTGTGAAACTCAAATGGACATGTATGTAACACCAGTGTGTGAGTAGGTTTTTATTCTCGAAGGTTCTTCGCTGTCGTCATAGTATCCGGTGATATTCCCCCATAATTCTTCCCAGCGGGTGATCGTTTTGTGAAATGCTACGAACATGATATTACAGGTTGATCTATTTATTTATTCATGAATTCTGCTTTTTCAGCTCACTCATCCCTTGCCTGTCAACGATTTTTTAACGTTTTTTAATCATTTTTTTTTTTCGAAATCCTCGCATCGTCTCGTCACAAGCGTCTTCAATCTCGAGCCCCAGGGTCATTTTGGCTCCTTGTCAGCGGTATGTAGCCATATAGTCACCTCTGGGAGAATCGATTAATTCAATTTTTTGATTGGTTGATAGGAAAAAAATAGACCCCACACAGGGAGTGTGATTTTCGGAAGGGATCGATTGGGCCAGAAATAGAGCATTGACAACGATAAATTTGAATTGTTTTACTTTTGTTACTGTTGTTGTTGTTGTCTTTTTTTTCGCGTGAAAGTTTTCACTTGTAAACTGCCTGTCGATGCGTGAGAAAACAGCCAGCAAAAGCCGCTGCGTGCCGCAATGGCGGGAAGCTGTTCTTCATGGAGCGATGGATTGCTGTCGTTGTTGTCAAAGACGTATGAGTTGAAATAAGTCATTATATTAATTTGTTTTGAGTGAAAAGCAGAAAAGAAGGAAATGTACCAGTGTAAAAGAGTTCGACAACAGAATCGCATAGCATTTAATATCAATATCATGTAACAAGGAACAGTACCAAGTCTTCCCTTGAAGATTTCAGTTGGAGGAGCTTATTAAGGAAATGATAGGTTGAGCTTCTTACTAGCTTGATCCGATGGCCACTGTGAGTTAACTGTTGTACAAGAAGATGGAGGTCAAGTACTTCCAGTGCGTGTGATATATAGTTACGCGATGAATACCTAATGCTGGGAGCTGAACCAAAAAGCCATAACTATTATCCTTAGTATTGAAGACTCTAATCGTAAGGTGAGTACTATTTTAGTAACTACAAGCAGTTTTTTTTTATGAGCTTTTACTTTATCTTTCTTTTCAGTGAAGCAATGATACAATTTTAGCCTCGAAACATCACAAGCTTAAAACTTGCAAAATGTGAACATTCCATATGTTTTTTTACTTCATTAAAAAAAACAACCAAACCCTAGCTTGATTTATCGAACTGAATCATGTAAAAGAAAGAAGCTAGAGAAAACTCAAAGCTTGTGATGTTTTCAAGGTTCAAATTCTATCATTGCTTCTCTTTTTCTCTTCATCTTAAAGAGGGATGTGGATATTTGATCCATATGCGTGTGTTTTCAGTAAACTCAAGGCTAAGTAATAGTCTCAAAAATTTGCAAAATATGACACATCACATCAAAATATGACACATCAAGTAAGAACTTTTATTTTTGCTTCCTAAAGTTATTTTGGAACAAGTAAATAGAACAATAGTTGTTAAATTATTTTATTCTCACTTGAAATAATAACATAGTACATTGAAATGAAAGTAAAATATCAAAGCAGTGTCAATATAAACTGTTTGGCATGTTTTCATAGTTGAGTAGATCAAGGAAATATTAGGAAACTTGTCTTGAGGTATGTCGTATTTTAGGGGCGAATAAATGGGTGTTTTTATATGAGTTTCAAAACATTTCTGTTTTTTCTTTGTTTTGTATTCATCCCGCCTCAGGTGCAGTCACCTGTACAATCATCAGCTTTTGCATCAGGAGAAGAGGGAGGAGGTTCTCTGGAATCTATACCAATCGTTTCTAGAGTTTGCCGTTGTTCCTTTTCCCTTTCCTCTAAGCCCAATACTCGTAAAGCCCTTGCTTAAAGTCCATTTTACTAACTAACTAGCTTGCAATCGATTCACCTCGCGCGGGAACCTGAAAACAGCGTAGGAGCTGCGTAAAGGGCCATCACTTATCCTTTTTTTTTCACTTCCGAACTTCCAGGAGCATCAGAAGGTGCACTGGTAAAAATCTCGATGTTTTCTTTTTATTTATGAATTCCTTTTAGTTACGATGAATCGTAAGTTCACCTACACAAAGGTGATTTACGTTCTCTTTCTTTTTCCGCTGACGTAGTGGACCGTGTGCTCTATTTTGAGCAGAAGTCAACCGGAAGCAGTAAATAAACAATGTAGACATGCGCAGTTAAAACCGGAATCCCACGATTTCTGGGATAAAAGGGTTCATTATTTGGCGACCATACCACTGACAAGGAGCCAAAATGACCTGGGCTCAAGAATGAAGCGTCTAACAAAGCACACTTCCCCTCCTTTCGCCATTGGCAGTCTTCTTGAACATAGGCATCAATTTCTCCTAAAGCTGGTTCTAAACTATAGTTTACTTCTTCGTTTTGCTGGAGCGGGGGGTGTAACTTGAGTTTTCTTTATTTACAAATAATGTCTTTCTCGAAAAAGTGAAGAATCATAAGGAACTTAGCCACTGCCCCCTTCAGCGACGCTCTTGGACTTAATTCACGAGTAGCTGATCCAGTAACCAACTGTGTAGCAGACAAATGCCACAGGAAAGAGAATCCGTGACACACGATCTATTCGGACTGCGTTATTTTTCCTCTGTTGTATGAGTGATTCCCGTCTCTCTCTCTCCTCCATGTAAGCGATGTCCTCCAATGACAGGGGCAGTGATTGGTCCTTTACTGCCATGTTCATGGTCAGCCCATTAAACTTGTCTTCATCAGGGACTTTTCCCTTTTTGGCTCTAGCTTTTCGCCGGTAACTGTTAAGACATGGCAGTAGTTTGGATGGAAGGGAACGGCATTTCTGCAAGGTGAAGGTGCTATTGAATTCTACTAAAAATACTTCATGGCAGAATGTTTCTGTCGGAGACAGTTGCACAACTACAACAAAATCACGCGATCATTTAGGAGGTAACTAGTTATAGGTATAGGAAATCGTATGAACGCGAGTGCATTTCGTGATTTATGGGCACGAGTGATGTTTTGAAAGTTCTCAAAATTGCACGAGCCGTAGGCGAGTGCAATTTGAGAACTTTCAAAACATCACGAGTGACCATAAATCACGAAATGCACGAGCAGGTTCATACGATTTTTTATTTATTATATTCTCGATTTTTTTATAATTTGGTGTTCAAATTTGGCGCTTCCCCGGTGTTTCCATGGCAACTTCTCCGTATTGCACTCTATAACCACTATTGCACTCTATAACCTATTTATGCATTCATCATTGACCAATCAGAAACGCGATATTTTGTTGAGTATATAACAAGAACATTTATGTACAGTTCATTGGTGGTGCTATAAACCTCTCTGCCCCGCCGCAAACGTTCTCAGTAATTTCAATCTATAAAAAACGGTCTGGGCAAGGTTACTACAAACTTTCTCAGCAAAAATGGAGTAATGATAGACTGATGCTCAGTCTTTGACTTACTATAAGATGGGATCCCATGAGTCAGCCCAATCACGCTTATTCATACAAGAAAAATAAAGAAAACGTAGTTTTGCCTGTCATCAGGCATCGAAGTGAACAGTCCCAGTTGTATAAAACGTGCTTTCTGCTGTGCTATATTTCTTAAATAAAGTAATTTTCGTAATGCAGGGCGAGTTTGGTCTGAACCAATAAAAACAGCAACAACAACAACAACGACAAAAACGTCGACGCCGCTGTCGTTGTCATTATTGTTTACTTCATCATCTTTGTTAACGTTTGGACTCACCACACTGTTTTTTTCAAAACTGCTATCTTTCTTAACTGGCCTCGAAAACATCACATACGCAGCCAAGCTCTCAATAACCGAGAGGAAAATAAACGCAAATGATGTAATAAGATACCAATCTACTGCTTTAGCGTAGCTGACTGGCGGCATGGAAGCGTTAACAGCCCCAGACAGGAACATGATGGTCAGAATGGTGGTGATTCCGATTGTGAGTCGGTCACCAGCACTCTCTGGGTTCATCCAAAACGCAATCCAGCTTAACAGGACTATCAGGATATCAGGAATGTAAACTTGTAAGACGTAGTAGCCAAGGCGGCGCTGGAACGTATATGAGACAGTTATGGTAGTAAAGTTCACTGGCAAAAAACGAAAAGAATTTGTAGAGACGATAATGAAATATGTAGAGGAGGGAAAATTTGTTTATCACCGTTTTCGAAAGCTCTACTTTGAAGCGTTTGCTCAATAGTTTCGATAGTAGATAGTGTTCTTTGCCCTAAGAGTTCTAACCATTCCCTGAGAGTGACTTATTTCTAATTCATCCTCACTGTATCAATTAATAAGGTCTTGATTGTCAAACACATTCTTCCTGTCATAGGAAAAGTGAATAGAATAGCATGGAGAATTTGCCAGTTTTCAGTGGAGAAACTATGGGTTGAAATAATTTCGACCAGATCTGACTTCTTCAGATCACGTAAACGCTCTAGCAACATTGCGTGACAGGGAGGAAGCTAGAGATGTCTATAAACCGTTTCCTAATAGAAGAATTGGACAAAATCTCTGATTCATTTTACTCTTCATGATCTTACCACCCGTGTAACTATCCAGGTCAGCAGAAAACATTGCGCCCAGAAACTTGAACTGCGCCATATTAGTGCGACTGACGTGAACATCCCCACTTAACCACTTGAAAATGACGTCACTATCATCATAGGCATCTGGAAAATAAGCGGTTGAGTCACTTGTTTGTCACGTTGATGAGACAGAATTTCTTTGAAATTATCATGACCTCATTATCATGGTAGATCAATTTAAAATCCCAGACCGTTTCCATAGGACAGTGTCGAAGCATCGAATATACATTGGTAAGCGAGGTTTTCATCATTATTCATAACTCAGGTTTTCTTTTCTTTTTTTTTTTTTTTTCTTCAGACGTGAGCATTATAAGACGGTTACATGCTTTTTTGTTCAATCACGTCCCTGTTTAAGAGTTCCAAAATGTGCGCATAGAATGTTACTACGGATTCGATACATGCAAATTTGAATCAAGTCAAAATTGCAGTTTAGTAAATGTATGGTATTATTACCAGAAACACCGAAAATATGAAAAATTACTTGCTGATTTTGATTGGTTGTTGCGTATAATATGTGAAATGAAGGGAGTATAAATAATGAGATCATCACATCATTATCATATAAACAAGTGGGATACTACTTTTAATGCACTCATCTAATAACACATCTCATATGAAGTTACAAGAAGATCGACATTCCCTTCGTCCGCGGTTTGCCACTTATTCAATGTTTAAGTTATGGACGGTCATCAGTGAATCAGTACTTACAACTTCCAAACTTAAGATGACATGTTTGACTGTCATGGGGGAAACTGCGGAGATCCATCACACATGATGCTGTGAATGAAACCCTGGAAAGAATTTTGATACGAAAATGAATAACTTGGTTACACTACTCATGGTTTTTCTTCATATTCCTCCTTCCCTATTAGACTCTTGGACAGGACTCCTTTATCTGTCCAAGGACCGACCGTCAATTTTTTATTTGTTTTAACTGTTCATCTGCGACCGTGTAAAAAGCTGTCTGTCGTAGATTCATTATTGCCATCCTTGGAAGAGTATATCTATTGCACGAACAGCATCTTTAACTAGTTAGACTCTACGATTCAAAATATACCCTCTACTGTATTCGAGCACTCCATCGGGACTAATGGATACTTTGCTGTGCGTTTCTGCGTCTGGTAACATCAAGTTTGTTAATCGAGCGTTGTAACAATAAGCATCAGGAGTCCACACACGGTTAATGTCAGACCCCTTGAGGGTGATACTACGATTGATTCTCCCTGCCAGTCTTTTATCAGTCCAAATCTGCTTAAAGTAAGAGTACACTTGGAATTCCTAAAAAAGAAAGTCAAGAGAGGTTTTTTCTTTTCCGGTAGACTCAGCAAAGATGGACTGAAGGGTTGTTCTGAAAGCATTAGAGAACTTTTCGTAAAACCAAAACTTAAGTTAACAGAACAGCCAATCAGAAGACAGGAAAATAACTTTAAGAGCCGATGAGAACTCTTAGTGAAAAAAACCAAACCACCTAAAGCGCGGGAAAACGTGGTGACTAAGTCGTGATTGGTTGTGGTTCCGCATCTGATTGGTTGAGAGAGTAGTGTGAGTTTTCAGGACTAATCATAGCTAAAACAATGAAATCCCGCAACGCTTTTGACAATCAATTGAAAATTGCTTTATTCTTGTAATTTGTCAATGTGTCAGAAGGTTTGATATCGCTGGTTAGCCTACATGATTGGTTATCTGATTTTGCTTATATGGAATCCCTTGTTATTTCCTACCATGTCGGCTTCATGAATATTTCCGAAGGACTCCACATGAAGTTGTACCGACACTTCAACAGGTAAACCTATAAAAGCATAAGGAAGTATATTTTTTTGGTCTTGCGCTAAGGTGATCAACTAATACCGGAACCGAATGATATAAGAGCTAAGTTCCTGTCCGGTTAAGTGTCAAGTTTCCGCTGTTAAACTTACCGACAGCCCCTCGAAGAAACTATGGAAGAAATTTTCATCGGCGCAATTTACTTTTCTTTTATAGGCACTTCTGTTTGCCGAAAACAATAAACAACTAAAGTTAACATCATGTAGAAAGCTTTCAACTCGTCTTGGGGTCTTCGGTTCCCTTATCTATTTCAAAAAGCGAATTTTGTCCGCCGTGTAACACGAGATTTGGCCCAAGCTAATAGCTGTGCCTTGCTCTAGACATGAACGAGTTTTTAAAAAGATTGAAGACTGACCAAAGATACAAGAGTTGCCCCAGGCTGCGCCTCCAGCAACTCTTACGCTTCCCTCACGCTCTCTGGACGTCTCACGTGCATATATTCATGCTAACCATGAATCAGCTCTTAACTGAAGAAATATATATCCGGAAATACTCTTTCATGTAGTAACATAATTAACTAAATTATACTACCTTCAAAGAGTCGAGGTCTCACGGTCTCATCGTAATTAGCAACTAGCGCTTGTTTCACCGAGCTGGACGTGATATCTCTGATAAGGCTGCGATAATGAAACAAAAATGGATTGGGGCAACTATATAAAATGTAGGTTGATATTCCGTTTATATTCCATTCGCATAGATTTTTAAATGGTTAGACGTGAGATCTGATGGACATTATGCATACTCTATACTGTTGCACAGCACATTTTGTGTTTGTGCATGGAGTTTTGATAAAAAATCGAAATTAAAAAAACCGACTAGCTATATGTTTGTCTGAACTGTAAGATATAAATGCATTTCCCATAGTTACTCACCACGCTAGGAGGACGGAGATTCTTAATATCCAGTGAACATTTACGTTTAGCGGAGTCTCTTTCTGCATGTTTGTCAACTGTTAATTACTAAAAAAAAAAACGAAACAAAAAAAACCACACGTAAAATCTATTGTAACCGCTAAAATATAGGCCACGGGCGTTCGATAGAAAATGTTGCTTAATAGCAGTTCCATAAACAAAAAATTTCTGAAATAAACTTCGGGAGGTAGGCGAGGTGTCGTTTCAGCCATCTTATAAAACTCCTCTTAGATCATTTTTTCTCTGCTAAAGAGCCCGGTTTCGAGAAAATGTAAAATACTGAAGCTCATAAATAATAACTAACGATTGAAGTACAGTACAAGTGCAGCATTTCATATCGTGACGAAGATCTTAACAGGTGTTATTAGGGCTCTTGTATTTAAAAACATCCGGCCGGATAACGAATAACAAGGAGTTTTGAAGTATTTTCTAAGTACATAACGTTACTAACCGCACTTTTTGCAATAGTTGGGCTTCAACGGCGTACTTAACTTTCTTTTAATGCAGTTTTGATTGCACCATGTTTAAATAGAGAGGATATCACTTTTTCTCGATATTTTGCCAATGAATATATTAAAAAAAAACCTACTTGAATTAATGGTGCCTAAGGATAGAAATACACTCAATAGGGTTACTACCATACACGAGTATACCACAGGCAAAAAGAATGGAACAGGTGGATATGTTTAATGACGAACTTTGAAAAGTTTGGCAAATAATTTTATTATTCAGAGACCAAGAGTAATGTGTTTGAATTCAGTATAAGCATCCAAGAGGCGCATTTATGCCGATGAACTTCGATGGCGTCATCAAATCTTGACAATAATTTCGCTTTGACTAAGTGTTGTCAATTTTTCAGTAAAGCTCGTGCTTCCTTGTGTATTTACTTCGTAAAGGCAAATTTGATGGTTTTTGAAAAATGCATAATCTATCTGCATATTGCATTCGTACCATGCCACAAATCTCGAAGGAACTTATCTTGTCCTAAAGATGCATTTTCAATGGCACAATTTCAATTATCATTACTGTAACAACACTTTGAGACTGATCCACATTAGTTATGTCGCTGTAAACCACCTTTACATGGGCAACGGTGCAGTGAATGCCACACAACATCATCGCCACAAGTAAAATCAATAAAGCTGAAGTTATAACAATTTCTTTTCAGTTCTGCGATTGTTACGAAAAGCTTCGGTTGGATTAATTATGGCGACATTAAAACACGAGACAGAATGGAGCACAATTTTTGATTAAAATCTCATTCAAGTGCTCGAGGTAGAAAGTTAGTCTGAAGTACGCTCACCTTGAGACATCACACATTCACGAGCTCCTCTTAAAGCAAGAATAACGATCTCCGAGCAATTTTAGAGCGATAAAGCAATTTCAATCGATCACGATGGTTTTGCTATCTTGGGGATACCCCTTGCGGTGAAACCTTTTTAAAAACGACGATTACAAAAAGTTTTCCCTCATAAAATGCAAATACAGAAACTGTTATTTCTAAGGGGGCCAGTAACCTCCAGCTGTTACAGCTGAATGGTGTCTTCGCGTGTGGCAGGATTCAGATATTGTCAAATAAAGCAAATCATCAATTTATGTCATATCTTATGAAATTATTTGGACGGCGGTAAACATAAGAATATTGATTGTCTTCATGTGGCTTTTCATTCCTTTTAGAAGTTTCTTCTTTATGGGATTATTGTTATGTAAAACTTGGAGGCAATTTGCGATATAGAAATATAATGTAGTAAATTGTTGATAGGCTTAGCTTACACTTTGTGCCTACTTTTATGAACTGCACTTTCAATGATAGCTTACAGACCGGGTCTTACCCACTCGCTTTAAACCGTGTCTACCGAACCACGTTGCATTCTTTTATCTTCAAGACTTCTTTAGAATTTTTCAAGCGTTAAATAGGGCGATGGCAGAGTGCGACGAAAAATAACGTTAATAACATAAATACAGACGAAAAATAACAATGATTTTTTCCACAGTCTTTTCCCTTTGAAGATGTCACAGTTACTATTTGAGGCTTCTTGTATATCTAACTCTGCTCACAGCCATAATGAATAGAAGATATCGCATCTTATATTCTTTTCTATTTGGTTCTGGACCTCTTGCAGACATACTGTTGACATATCAAGATGATATTAAAAATCTGTTGTAACATTTTTCTTCGATTATATTTACACCGCATTTGAAATAATCAATAGGCTTATCAAATGATTATTTCCTCTTGGAAAAGTATAGTACAAAGTCACAGCTAGTATCAGTATATTTTACTCTCTTTTTAGATTCCACGGATAATTTGTGAATTAATGCCAGCTTTGCCCGTAACTTTGCACGTGATAGCCACTTCGCCTCCAGCACTAACATTACGTAGTTCTAAGTATCACTTGATACATTAAAGTACCACAAGTCGCTTAATACGATATCGCAGCTTGTATTCACTTCTGACGATACTTTCAGTATTTCAAGGTAACATTACCACGTATTATTTAAAATCAGCGTAACATCATATTTCTTTGTCAATTAAGCTTGTACTACTTACAATACAAACATTACAAGATGTTAAAATACTAGGCTAGGTTCCCTCGGGCTTTAAAGTGACGAGCTTTGATTTGTTGGTATTTATCAATCCTTCGTAATTAACAGTCGCACCGTGGCCTGTAATTTAGATTCTTGATTTCAATAAGCTTATTAAGTATCATTTAAGCAAGTGAATAATAACACCAGTATCCAATGTTGAAGATCAGGAAGACCATCGGAAACAAGGCCCGTGAGAATTTGTCAATTAAATCAGCGGCATCATACAATTTTGGAGACTTTTCGTGACCTAAAAATGATGTATCTTCCTTCACAATGCCATCGATGTTTGGGAGACATACATGACTTTCCTTGTCGTCAATTCGAGTGTCATGTTTTCCGCCATGAAATGTTACTTTAACCGTTGATGGTGACTTTGAATTTGAAGAGTCTTCCTTTTCCTATCGAAACAAGAACACTTCATTGAGCTCATGACGACCTTAATTGATTGATGCACTTGTTTACCTTCACACTTTTTTCGCAGGACGCGTAACACGTATGAACCTAATAACAGCTTACTTTTAAAAGGGGTAGGAGCTTCTTATGAAACTGTGGAGCGCCGTTTGTAAAGGGGGAGGTGAGGGAGTATTACAAGATAATTTGTTTTTATTAACAGAGACGATTTTATGTGAATTGGCCACCATATCGTTGGAGCGAGTGACGAAGGTCTAACGCTCGAAACGTCAGCTTTATAAAAATCTTTGAATGGCCAATTTACATTAATAACGGCGTAAATGACCCAAAAGCTCCCTTTGCTTCAGTAACAGAGTCATTAGAGAACGAAATTGAAACTCGGCATCGGGCTAAATTTATTGTGGGGAACTCCGATTTTGTGCTTGAAAAGTCCCATAACATCTTTCGCCATATTGCCTGAAGGAGCTCAAATTTTACCAAAGAATTCTTCAAAGAATTCTCCATGGTATTACAATTTATGTTAAAGGATTTAAAATAACGCCAGACTTTTACAATACGAAACCACATGCATCGCAGCACTGTCAGTCAAACTACGAGTGTGGTTGATATGGTTCAATAATCCTAAAAACAATAACAGACTATCTCCATTTTGTTACACATGCAGGTAAGGCAAATTAAGTCTAGTTTCGAGTAGATTTCTATTTCAAAAATACGTACTATGGCCGAAATTCAACAGCCCACGCATACCTGCGTTGTACAGGTATAATGTATAAGTGAGAGTTAACATTTAACACGAATGAGTAAAATATATTCGACCGGTTAGCATCCAAAGTCTCTTCAATTGAAATTCAAACAACTCTTCCTCAAACTAGACAATTTTTTAAAGTAAGACGTTGCGTATGATGGTAGAATTGGATGTAGATACAAACCTTTTTCGCCTTTCGTTTGTTAGAGCTTAGCCAAACCACGAACACGATCATACACTCAACCAGCGACAAGAACGCGAAAGAAAAAGACACCAATAGATACCAGTCCAAAGCCTTGGGATAACTGACTCTTGGCAATGTGCCATTAAGAGAACCAAGAAGAAACATGATGGTTAATATGGTGGTGATTCCCAAAGCCATTCTGTTGCCCATGTCATTTTTATCCATCCAGAAGACAATCCAACTCAGGGCAACAACGCAGATATCTGGAAAGTAGACCTGTATGAGGTAATAGCCCATGCGACGCTTAAAGTAATATGCCACAGTGATGGTAGAGAAGTTTCCTAAAGAAACAGAAAGAGATTCTATGGTTGACATTTTAACCGTTGTGGAGACTGTAAATTGATCATATTGCTTTGGTCTGTAATATGATTGTGGATTTGGCTGATTCACTCGTATCCAAGACTAGGATAAATAAGAGGAGGAGAAGCACGGTCGGCTTCGTGATCAGACGGAGAAGTCTTGAGAAATAATTCATATCTAATTTTCTTTTCCATCTAACGTTAATCAAATTGATTCACAGATCGATTTCGTACTTATGCACGAAACGATTTTTTTTGCCAATCATAATGTAGAATAATAAAAGTTCGTTGGGCTATGCCAAGGAAAGGTTCGAAGTTATCAACAAAACAGGTGGTTTGAAGTCGATCGGGCTGTCGACCAAAAGAAACAAATGCCCAGCTCCCTTTGGTTAATTAATCAGTAAAATAAAAGTATTTTTAACAGAGAGTCTATATTAAATTGAGACAATTGTTTTTAACCTGTTTTGTACATGTCAAAAGATGACGATAAAGAAGCACTGCAGTAATCAAACTGCGCCATCGACTTGGCTTCCACTTCGACCTCTTGGTATTTCCACTTATAAATGATGTCTTCCGTTGAATAAGCATCTGTGTTGAACAGGAGAAATAATTTAAAGAAGTGAACACGAATATTCCGGAGTTGAGTTTCGTTTAATGATTGCACTGAATTTCAAAAGATTACTTAGTCTTCCTGTAGCAACGATCTTCTTCATGACAGTGGGGATGATCTTTTTGAGTTATCTCTTGCGCGGAGAAAGCAAAACTAAGCCTGAGCACCAAACTCCTTTCTTATCAATGTCTTTGAGAAAATTAAATGTGGTACTTACAGCTTCCAATTTTAAGAAAACATTCCTGAGAATCGAATGGAAAATGACGCAGATCCATCTCACAAGATGCCAGGAAAGTCACCCTGGAATGGGAAATCGGAATGTTTTTTTTAACTATGTCATTTTTACATAAAAATAATAATAATATTAAAATGCAACGAAATTTTAATGTCGAGCCCAAAAATCTAATGCAGTAAAATACGTTTCGGTTAACTATATCCTTTCGATGAGTACGTGACGAACAGCTTCGCCTACATCAGTGACCGTACTACGACTGATAATTGGATGAGCCCTTCTATGTATGGTTGGGGTTTCTTATCCCTTTGTTGTGTCTTAGATATCACAGCTTCATTGTTACCGACTATCACTAGCTTACGCAATGATCAAGTTATTTTCGATGTAATTGGCCATTTAGTTCTTATTTTACTACTAGTTCTACAGCATCTGTATTCCTTATTCGACCTTTACACTGACTACTCGCCAGATTTTCTGTCTCTTTCGAAAGTTAAATGGTACAAACCCTTTTGTGTAATGAACGTTTCCGTGGACGTCTATTGAAACTTTGCTGTGGACCTCAGAATCTGGCTGCATTAAGTTGGAATCGCGTGCATTATAACAAAAAGGGTCTGGTAACCACATTCGACCGATGGTTTCGCCTTTTATGGTTAGAGTCTTGTTAAGCTTCCCAGAAAGCCTCCCGTCTTTCCATTGCTGTCGTAAATATCCAAACACCTTAAATTCCTGGGAAGGAAATAAATGAAAGTTTCAGCGCCACTATTACATACATTTTGAAATCACTAGTGATCCAAACAATTTGACGCGCTCTCAGCAATAGGATTTCGAAAAACGCGATGAAATGGTGCATCAACTTTGTGTCCTGCAATTTTGGTCTGCAGCTATACTTTCTGATTTCAGATAAGACTGCATTTGACCATAGTCAATTGATGTAGTTAATGTATGCTTAAATCTCTGTAGGACCTTTTGAAGGGATCATTGAGCTTTTAGATTCACAACGATTACAGTTTCTGTTGAAATTAGCTGTCTAATTCCACCCTAAAAACTTGTGAGACCCTGCATAGTTTGAGCTTGATACCATACCTCAATTCAAAGATGCATGTTAGCTACCAAAAGCCCCTTGGGAGAAGAGTTGAGGAGAATGTATGAACGGGATTTTTGCCATGGAGACCTAAAAATTAAGAACCCTGCAAATACTAACCATATTTACTTCTTGTATATTTCCAAATGATTCAACGTAGAGATCTGCAAAGATCTCGATAGCATCTCCTATGATTCATAACATTTGTATAAAACAAAATACAACAATTATTTTCAGTTATAAACCAGTAAAAAAATCTTTGGGTTTGAATAAAATTGAAATGATTAAAAAAATAAACTAACATTAGTAAATAAAAGTTATTATATAAAAATAGAAAAAAATTATTTCTGACAATAAGAAATTTTTGATGTTTGTCTAATCTAGATTTCATTATTTCATAAGTATTAAGAGAAAAAATAATGTTATGGATACGTCTTAAGCTCGTGGTAATTCATAACTCTGGATGGGTTAACCTATAGCCAGTTATTTAGCAGGGATAATAAATCGTTTCTGTCACTTAATTGCCATCATTATTATTATTACTATTATTATTACTACTATTAGTATCATTATTATTATTACTATAATTTTTATTGTTATTTTTAGCCCAGAGTGCCATAGAGTCATATAACTCCTCCCTATTTTTAGCCAAAATGAATAAATTGAATCCTAGCATTGACAAGGGTGGTGAATGTTATTATTTCTCTTGAGCGCATCGAGATTGCCTTACCTCCATAACCAGGTCTCACAACTTGATCATAATCAGAAAACAATTTTGCCAGCACTGACCCGGAGACCACGCTTCCATTTTGTTTTGCAGAACTGCTGTGAACACGAACATAGCCATCTTGAGTCTTATAAACAAAATGCAAGTTCGCTACAGGTGCCCTTTAACCCAAATATTTGCTATCTTAATTTTATATTTGTTGTTGTTCTCACAAGCTTGTTCTAGAATTTTTCCTTCTTTCGCCCTTACGTGCTGCTATAAAGGTGAAATAGACAAAATATTTTGTGCTCGAGACTATATTAATTCACTAATTTCACAAAATAAACCATCCGCGCTTGCCATTCATTGATGCAGCGAGCCAACTTCAACCACGATCGCGTACCCTTGAACAGATATACTGCTGTGAGGTTTTATGATAGCCATTGATTGCATTTCTGCCTTCATGCTATGAAATGACGGATTACCATATGCATAGACTAAAATGATATATTTTCATACAAAAAGGGAAAAAAAATTCTTAACAAATTTATTCGCTAAATTTCTTTTTTATGGTGTTGCTTAACGGTACGTGTCATCCTCTTAGAATGTTTAACACCTTTTTCACGCCGCTTGTGAGATAACTTACAATAATTAGTTGCTACTTGTAAAGGTGGTTATCCCATGACTAGTATACAGACTATTAAATTCAAGAATGTAGTGTTTACGTGTTATGTAAAAATCTTGTTCAGCTTTTCCCGCCTTTCTCGCCTATTTTCGAGAACAAGATTATGCACTTAAGTGTGATTTATACACTTACAATTTTGGATACAGCATAACCAGAAGTACTAAACCAATGAAGCGACAGCATAAAAATTTCTCTTTCTTCAAAACGTTCGTCATTATGGTTTATCATCGAAGCGAAGAAAACTTGCTACCTGCAAAGATTAGCAATTTTTGTCAACCTGCAGCAATCACCTTTGGCGTTAAACTGAATTGAACTATTCAAGAGATGATCAAGTAACAGACTGGATGTTCCATTATGGACTTATTTCTATAGTAGTCCGTCTCACTTGCAACTTTTTGTTGTACCTCTCAAGATATCGGAGATCCAAGTAGGATAATGAAAAAGCCAATCATGTTTCGCGAATTTTACTCACGTGGGCATCGCTTTCGAAGTAGTTTCGTTACACATGGAAAGAAAACCAACAACAGTGAGACCTGCACGGAAAGATTCCGTCCTCAAACTGAAACACTTCGAGTAACTCCGTTTATTTAGGCTAAAAAAATAATTCCTGTCCGGCTAACAACCGCGTTATTCTAGCACTTTTATGGGTGCGATTACGCAGCAGAAGTTATAGCATGGACCAAAAGATAATTAAATTGACTCAAATATCGCAGCAACGATGCTGTTCGTTTGTGCCTCGTCGATGACTGGAGATAGCTCTTTTAGTACAAAAATGGTTTTGGCGTATTACTGATAATTTCTTATGACTTCTTAATAGATACCTCTTTTTAACCGAGTTCGATGTCACGGTACCTTACCGTTCGGCCTGAGAACACCAACGTTGGTAAGATATTGATTGAATATTCGGGTTCAGAAGGGGAAGAACTCAGTTCAAACAGACTTTTAATACTGGCGAGGCGATACCGTGAAATACAGCCCGCTTAGTTTACCAATCATAACGCACCTACTAGCTGAGAGGTTGAAATAGATTCATTTTGGTTTTTGTGGTAACAAATGGCACATTACTATTTACATTCAATCTATGGGGATTGATCTGTAGAGATAACTTCCCCCAGAGGAAAAACACTGATAAGACCTCGAGATTTAAATGGTCTCGACCTCGCATTTTTAATTAGCAATTAATTTGCATCATTATTGCTGTCTTCAAGCTAATATCCGTTGAATGCTTATCAAGTATTTTTGTCAAATGAAAGGTGTCGGACGAACCATATGGATCATGAAATAATCTCAATTAAAGACTGTTGCCGACTTGAAGTTTGAAACTCACGACTATCAAAATAAACAGTAAAACAATCACATAGACATAGGCATTTTAAATTCAGATTTGACTCTAAAATAAGGTAACATAAATCCTAATTATTAATTTACCTCTGAACAAATGCTTACTAACCGGCCGATCTCGACATAACTCTTCGTGTTTTCATAACTCTTCGTATTTGAGAAGTACCAATAATAAAAAAGGCTAATTACAGTTGCCATGTTATTATTTTGGTCTGGTACACAAGGAAAGTTTTTTGCTGAATTTCGCTGGTGATAGACGTTTCAAAAATAATTATGAATTATGAATAACGAATTTTGGAACTTCTTCAGACAGTTGTCGTTAACTTGAATTATTTCTGAAAATCACCATAAATAATTTATTTTGCTCCGATCTAGCTAGGTCGGTAGCATACACTTTTTTTCTTTGGAGGATATTCTCTAAGTCCGAGGCGCTTGCCGTGCAATTTGAGACCTTAAAAATTGCAAAGTTCCAGTTTGCGAACTTCAAGTATTGATTTGTCAAAGTTTTCTTATTGAAGAGTTCGAGGCTTTTTCTTAAAAATACATAGATATTGGAAGTTAATCATTGTGCTGAGTTGTGTATTGATGTGAATTGCTATCCGTCACCATTGATATGTTCAACGTTTCAAGCTGATAGACCGAGAATTTTCTCGCATCAAATTTGTTGAGTCAGTATTAGCGTAGCACTACAAAAAACTATTTATCGACATTGAATCGCGGTAGAATTCGAGTAGCTGGGTCTACATAATTAGTTATCTGAATACCACAGGGGTCCTTTCTAACAAAACACATTGGAACTAACACGAAAGTACATAAATTATGCTTGAAAAAGCATGCATACACCACAGAGTTTCGACCATACCTTTTATAAAATATTTTCATCAAACGCTTCAACTCACCAGATATCCGAGTGCCTCCTACTCAAATGCTCTTACTTGATATTGTAAACATTTATTTATAGGAACGTAGCCAGTTATATTGAGTTTCGAAATTGTGAAAATTTATGCAATTAATAACACACAAGGAAAGCACATTTCTCGACATTCATTAAAAATACATTGGTTCCCATTTCAAGTTGCCAATTAAAATACAAATTGTATACCGCGTCGTTTTTCAGGCTGAATAAACGGTGTTAAGCTATTGAAGCTCTTACATTCATTTCGTGAATAAATGCACGAAATAAGAAAGGCAAAAAATTGCTGCAAAAGTTGAAAATCTTATTCTGAAACTGGATATTCACCATTGATGTGGGATGTTTACGAAAGGTTTGGTTGACACTTTTAAGTGTTAAACTGTTAAGCACAAAACCACTAAAAGTGAATGGATTATGGTATATATCATTGGCTAAAAATAAAAAATGATCCATGAACATATAGTAAAGCATTGGAAGATATCTTAGGGCTCTTGTGACCAGTCTTTAATCATATTTCTGAGAATTTCTCATGTTCAGTCTCAGTTTACCTTAGCACTCTAAGCCACATATATCGTGAAGCTTAAAATTATTTATGATTACTTAAAGCGATGTTATTGAGGAATTTGTACAATTGAATTGTGGCAAGTGTCTTGCATTTTCGGTTCTATTCTAAGGAAAAAAAAGCGTTTGAAAATTTTGAGTATGCCCTTAGGGTAATCGAAGAATGTCATAATTCAAAATAACTTGTCCTAATTATAACAAAATAAAGAAATTGTTTTAGTTTGGACGTCAGTGCCAATGAGGATTTTTACATAAAAATTAATCACGAGTTCTCAAGTTTTGTTTTGTTCAGGATTGCTATTACAGTCGCAACGGAAATGGTAAGTTCTAAATACTCTTTCTCCAGTTTTCTTCCTCACGTACAAGTTAATTCTGATGCAGCTGCCTTGCCTCACTCAAGGATAGTCGAATGATATTAACATAATCTTCCTAGCCCTTTTTTTTGCATTTTTTTTGCTACATTTTGCTGTGATGTAAATTTGTTCATATGGTGCGAAATCGGATACATAAAAGCTTTTTTATTGCAATCTGTTTTAACTAAGAGCAAGATGCTTTTTTTCCCAGCAGTAACTAGAATATTACTTCCCAAAATCTGGGCCAATATGAAAATTAGTTAAAAAATTAATAGGCTGAAAGCATGGGAGGACAATTTGACAGCAAAGACATGTTGTGGTTGTGTTGATTTTAAAAGAGCTTTTCCACTCTCTCCAATCTTTTCTCCTTCACGAACAGAGTCGGAGAGTATTTTTCTCCCTTATTAATGTACTAAAGAAATAAAATGTTAAGCAAAGGATTCAAACTTTGTTACCTTATCGACTGCATTAGCAGTCTTCGATCCTTTTCCTTGCATATCTTGTTTAACAGGCCCATCACCCGCCACGGCCTTATCATAGCTTTGTTTGCTCTGTAAACTACTTCGAGGTCACGTATAGTCTTGCATTAGTTCTAAGTTAAAGCACCCATCGAAATACGATAGGAAATATGTATATTGATTGAATGACTAATAAGCACTTTTCCTTCTGTCTGTTTTTTTTTTATTACAATACTCGTTTAAGTGTTTTTCTCCCACAAAGTTGTAGCCCACAGATCAAAACGCAAGCTGACATATACGTTAGTTCGTGTGTATACGTAGTAATATTTAGGCCATTATAATGTTGTGACCTATCCAAGAGCTTTAAAAAAAACTATCAAGTTATTGATGATAACTGTACTGAGCGTGCAAGTAGCCAGCCTTTGAAAGAGTAAGAGAGGGAAAGATTGATCCATGAGGGAGACTGAAGCGAGCGCCAAGCTTAACCCCGTTGGAACCTACAGGCCTGCCCCCTCCCCCACCCCCCTCTCTCCTCTCTTTACACATATTTGTAGTTCTGTTCAGATATTCAGCAGAATGAGAATTCCAATAGATTACGTATAGACTTTTTAGTCGTTTTTGGTTGGTTCTAATTTCTAAATTTAGAAAAAAAAACTGAAGAAGTTCACACAGAGGCTGAAAATACTTCTGAAAAAACAAAACAAAACAAAACAATCTGCCTTATCAGTTTACATGTGCGACTACTGCTTAACTACATGACCGTTGAAAAATGTCCAGTAAAACAGGTTGAATACAAGGAACACCAGTGGAAACAGAACGCGTGACACTCGGTCAATATTGCTGGCATTCTTCTCCATCCGTGTGATCTTGGTGCTCCTGTTGTGAGGGACTTCTGCTTCTGCGTCATCTACCAAGGCCTTGTCAGCTTTGCTCGGACGGTAACCCATTTCAAGGTCATTTTCAGATACTCCTTTGTAGTCATCGTTAGCGTTGTTGACATTTGCGCTCTTCGAACTAACGAAGCATTTCATTGATGATGCAATTCTTGTCGTGATAGGAATGGTGTGTTTCTGAAATAAGTATGACAAAAAGTGAGTAATACCTTTAGGATAGTAGAGGATGGTGAGTAAGTTAAATGAGACGTACAGAGAAACTTTTATGGAAAACATCAAGCCTGGCCGGGAGAGTTTGGGTCGGAATGCTTGGGTGTTAGCTATCAACTTCTCCCCGTTAGAAAATGTTTGTTCAACAAATGGAGCGTTTGAAGTGGGGAAAGAAAATCATGGAAGAAATTGCTATGTTGAATGAGTTCCTGCCCACCCAATCGAAGGTCTAAGGTGAAAAAATGTGATTTGCCTCCGCGGCCCTATGCTCCATGGAGAACGAAGTGGATTAATTGAATGTACAAGAGTAAACCAGTTTAGTAAGGATGGTAAAAGCAGCTGAGAAACTCTTTCTTTTAGCAAGCCTTAAGCTTTTCATAACTAGACAGTAACAGAATACTGCCGCCCAGGTTTTACCTTGCATTTGATCTTCTCGTTTTTGTTAGCTTTCACTGCGAAAAGAAACACAACTGTGCTTTCGATCAAGGACAGGAAGACGAAGCTGAATGAAAACAACAGATACCAGTCCAAAGCCTTTGGATAGCTCACTTTAGGCAAGTTTCCATTCAAGGATCCGAGGAGAAACATGATGGTCAGGATGGTAGTGATTCCTAACGCCATTCTATTTCCTATGTCGTCTTTTTCCATCCAGAAGACAATCCAGCTCAGTACCACAACAAAAATGTCCGGGAAGTACACTTGGATAAGGTAATAGCCGATGCGCCGCTCAAACGAGAACTTGGCGGTTATGGTGGAGAAATTACCTAGAATTGAAATAATGGACCAGTCATTATTTAACCATGTAAATTGTCAAACTAATAAGCATGTATCTTACACCTTTCGAGGCTAACCTGTGGAAAGCACAGTCACACCAGACTCCAGTGAGGAACCCATGTACTTAAACTGAGCCAATTCCTCGTGTACAACGGCGATGTTAGTTTTTCCCGGCATCCACTTGAATATGATGTCTTCCACCGTGTTACCATCTGAATAAAGACATAAAACATAGACAAGATTTAATTTTATTGCTTCTGCTTTTTCTCTTTTTGTGTTTTCTCTATAAAGTGTGGTTTGTGTTCTGGAGGGGACCTCCGTATGTTTACATAACAGCACTATGAGAACAATCGATTTTGTGGGAAGTATAACTGGGTCCCTACAAGTCTCCTCTCCCCCCTAAAAAAATTTCTTCACAACTGTGTGTTGCATCAAATATATCTGTAACCCCTGAAGTAATAAAGTGTTTTGGACATCAGCTTAGAAGTTGTACTTGTGAATCTTTTTCTGCATGAGAACCGATTGTCCATTGATTTCGTATTTTACTTCATCTATTGATTAATTTTGGCCCAACAATAACTCCTAGTCCCAAGGGTGATGTTATTTTCTAATCCATTAAATTCTTAACAAAGAACAGCATGCATAATTTGTAGAACACAGGATCACGCGAAGTCTTGTCCTCGAAAATAGAACCTTCGAACACAATGATACAAAACCAGCTTCAAATTTTTTGCTATGAGGTAAAGTATGGTCTTAGTGGATTTAACACACGAAATTATTGCTCTTGCAATTGCAACTGAGAAAGATATTTTTTTCCTGTGTTTACGACGATAAATTCTTTACTTCCACGTGATGTGTTTTTAGATGTTATATGTCAGTAGAAGTTATTTGCATAAAAGTGTTATTGCTGCGTACGTGATGGTCAGCATTTTTTTTCTCGCGTATTACAGGATATCTGAAAAGTCATTGATTACGTTGGACTTTCCGTTGGTAACAAGGTAAGCCACAATTTAAATATCATTCCTATCGAGGCACGGATTTGACGGCTATGGCGTGACAAATGATAATTACAGTCACGCCAGGCGTGATGAACTTGCGCGTGATCACGTCACTTTTTCCTCCTCATTCTTCGCGCGGTCGTCGCATCATCTTTGATTTTTTGTTTGCTATCACGCCGTCTTGGGAACGCTCCCTATCTACTTAATGCCAAGCTATGTGCGATTTATCGCTTCTTAATCCTGTTCATGTCATGGTTTCGTAAGGAGAATATTATATTTTATATGTCGCTACTTACAACTTCCAAACTTGAGAAAGCACATCTGAGAATCTAATGGAAAATACTTTAAATCCATGGTGCAGGAGGCCAGCAAACTTACTCTAAGATAAATATAAACACTCAATCAGTTGCTGAGAATGAATTTGACTTTGATGTATTAAAGTTCACATGGCAAACGCTGCAACAAGAGGTCCTCTTGTTAGATCACCCCTGATGAAGGCACTAGATAAGAGTGTCGAAACGTTGGGCCTATGAATTGTAACTTCTACGGTTACATTTATTAAATCTGTAAACCAGAGTAGCATCAAACCATGTCAAATTGGAATTTGCTAAAAGGATCTAATGATCCCTCATACAATTGATGTAATGTCAAAACAAACCTTTCATCATCCATTCATAAGAGAAAAAAAATTCATAAGCTCGTCTCGTTCTCACCCTCTACTATAGTATATCTCTCCATCAGGTTTAATTTTCAGATTGCTGTGCGTTTCCTCATCCGGGCTCATCATGTTTGACTCTCGTGCGTTGTAGCAGTAGGGATCTGGCACCCAAATGCTGGTTATTTGATCTCCTTTTAAGTTAAGGGTGCGGTTGACCTTTCCACTCAAGCGTGGATCTTTCCACGTTTGGTGAAGATAAGCGTACACTCTATACTCCTAGGAATAAAATAGATACCTTGTTTCAGAGGTTTTACTCTTCCGTAATATGATATCAGTTATCGATTGACTTTTGTTTGGGTCAAGTCAAAGTCATTATTTGTAATCAGGTGGAAGGGTGGGGGCAAAGGGAACGGAGAGTGGATTCGTTGTCGCCAACAGAGTATGTAGGTAGGACTATATAGAAATATAGAAAGTTGACTCCCAGTGAACCAACAATGAGGGTGAGGGGGGTGGGGGATGGAGTGGGGGCATCGTCAGAATATCCGTACAGAGCCTTAAGGCGGGAGTTGGTCGGTTTCATCGTGTAACGTCTAAGTTGATTAAGGAAAAGCGAGTTTTCCAGAGAACTTATAACATTCACGAATAAAACAAGCTGAAAATAAAGCTTTTAACTGAAAAAAGGAAAATTAAGGCACTGCTAGATGGGTTCCACCTACTGAACGGGAACTAGTCGTCACCGTTTAATTGTGCAGCTTCTGAGGATAAATTAAGGAAAAATGCGTTTTTTCCGACATGATGTTTATTATACCCGCAGTGAATACACATCGATAAAAAATTGATACAAAAGCTATGACAGAATGAAAACAGAAGTGAATTTTCAGTTAGACCATCAACTTATTTACGTAATGTCTAATAATTAAAGATCATGTCGTTACAATACATACCATTTCAGCTTCTTCAATGTTTCCAAACGATTCGATAAGCAGACTGCAATTGACGACTGTGGGTGTTCCCTTTTCTTTAAAAAAAATTACTGTTAAGTGCAATTATTGCTACTAACCACTAACAAAATCAACATAGAAAAAAAAAATTGTTTGACCGTAAAACACTTCTTACCATAGTCGGGTCTCAACACTTTGTCATAGCCAGAAAAGACCGTGTTTATCACGTCTGAGTCCCCTTGAGCTCTGTAAATATAAGATATCCCTCATTCAGGGACCACTTTTTCAAAGGGCGGATAACGCTATCTAACGGATAACTCACTATCCAGCAGATGAATCACTATCCAGCTGATAAATAATGGTGAAGCGTACGGTGCGATCCAACAGGTGGAGGTTTATCCAGTGGATAGCAACGGTTAAAAAAGCGCCTTGAAAAGAATTTGACAATGCTGATCCTTAAAAACAAACCATCTATTAACTGAAATAATTTCGTATTTTCAAAAGAACTCCAACTCTTAATTTTGTAGAAGCGATATCTTATCATTCCACTCTTACTTGCACGCCATCTTTCCAATATCAAGATAACATGCAGAAAGCGAAAAACATGCAACGGTATTACACTGTAAAACAGGGAAAAAATACGCGAGAACTGAAGCAAGGCAAAAAAAGGACTCACTAATAGAAACAAACTTTGATTCGTTTACTTTCTTTAGGCCTTACTTTCTGAGCAATTCATTTTTACGTCAGAAACATATCGTGTTTTTTCATTTGTCGTAAAAGACTAAGCGACTCGCAAAATATCTGCTCGTATCAATATCAGATCATCGGATATGGTTTATATATTATGCTCAGTAGGAAAAAAATTCTCGCGAAACAAGTGATAAAACAACTTATATTATGCTATACTTACCGTCTCAGGCAGATAATGAACAGGACGCTGGCGAAGATACATGTCTTAAATGTCAACTTCCTCGATGAGAAAGGCCTCATTTTTCCTTGAAACTGTATGAACGAAAACAGATAAATAGAGATTGAGATGCTTATAGGTAGAAATACTTCCAAGGAAGTAACTAAACTAGTGCACGTATACCTGACACGGTTGGTTAATAGATTCAAAACAGCTTATTTTTTACCGTCAATGTGACCTCTCCTTTAAGAATCTCTTAGTAAATTAGTAAAGATTCATGCATAAATGCAACCACAGGAAGAATTAGATTGGTAGACATCTAGGGGTCCTCCGCTTAATTGAAAATAATATTCCCTTTATAAGCCACCGTCGAACAGCTGGATGCTTTAATCAAGGAATAATCTTCTTTTTTTTTTTAATTATTTCTTTTTTTTATTTGTGTGGTATTGATTATGTTTTATCTTTTATGTAATTTTGATATAAGCTTTGAATTCTTAAAACTTTCAAAATATTAAACAACATCCCTCACAATAACATCAACCACTTGGCATATCTATAATTATAGTTATAATTATGTATAATTTTTGTAAGTTTGTGTTGTTGAATAAAACATTTGTCATAATGATCACTGTAACTACGACAGGCTGTCGCTCGAACACAGAAAATTTTCACAAGAAATAATTTACTTAAGTGCGCAGGCTGTCTTTTTTTTTTATGTACAATATCACGATACCATTACTTAATTGCGATCATAACCATGAATTAATTGAGACATCCCACTTTGTTTTGGCGCCTGGTAAGTTTTGATTATTTCATTGTTACCGTTTTTTTGTTTTGTTTTTGTTCTTGTTCTTATTCAAGCTTCAAATTACCTAAAATTTTCTGATAATCGATTGTAACAGTATCTCTTCCACTATTACTCCAACCACATACCAAGCTCAGTGCAATGTCATAAGGTTGCATGGCAATCGCCAATAAAACATTTATCATATTTATCTTGCTAAATACCAATCGTAATTACTACGCCTGGCCGTCGCTTAGACGAAGCAAATCTTCGTAGAAACTAGTTTGCCTGAAGCGATCAGACTATTTCTGCAATGACAAGAAACCTTTTTGTCAATTGACACCATAACTGTGAATGATTTAAGACGGCTCGCTGTGGTTTTTTTTTTTTGTTTTTTTTTTGTTTTTTTTGTTTTTCTTTTTGGTCTTAGTTGTTCATGCACATCCTCAAATCTAATGCTGAATATTTCTCACAAAACTCTTAAATGTCTCCCAAGTTGGTCGAAATGTCTGATTTCTTATTTATTATTCTTAGTATTAGTTCTCCGTCTCCTGAAAAGACTTGATATCAATAATACATCTTCACATGTAATTGATAAATGCTTAATTTGTATATTTTACATGACCATGAATTTACATTCAAATAAATTTTTATCTTTTATGTCGTGTTTCTATGGATATCAGTAACCTTTTGTCAAAACGAAAAAAAAAACCCTTTATATGTCATTGGTTTTATATTAATAGCCACAGACTAGAATTCGGTAGAAAGGAAAATAGACAAAAATTAACGAACAATTACAGAGACATCTGCATGTCGTGGCACGCTAGCATTTGAAAGAAAGTCTTAGTTTTAAATAGCAACATATTTCGAATGATATTTGAACCAACTTTCAGCTCCTGGAGACTGGATTCACCATCATAATTTCTCTCAACTGGCGCTTTTTGAGCTCTGTGTGAATGAACCAAAACTTAGAGTCCATATCGAATTTAATTTTTTTCTTCTTTTTTTGTCGTGTACACCGTCAAATCTCAAGCTGCTACCGAGGTAAAAAAAAAAACTCAACAGAGCAACAATTTCAAAAAATTACTCAGAAAAGCTTTTTACCGATTCCGCCTTTCGTACTTTGGTTGTCTCTTTATCAGCACTGCCGCATAACTGACGTTGAGATTTGCCAAGTAGTCACACAGTAGACGAATTAGACGGGTCAAACTGAGATATTCGATGGTAAACTCAGACATAAGTAATCCGATGATTTCGTGGGCGGCGGAGGTTACTGAACCGCATACAATTATCAGTAATTCCTTAAATTCCTTAAATGAGCGTATACAAATATGCTTTCTTACGCATGTAATATTAACACGACTTCCAGGCCTCAGGGTAAAATTAGTGATTAAACTCCCACACTGGTCTTTGACGTCTGTGCGGTGTGCCAAATTCAACCTTGCACTAACAAGAAGAGGAACTCAGAATTTTCTTGCAAACAGGAACACGACGATTCATTTAATGCTTACCATCATAAATGATAAATTGGTCACCTCGGGGTTGAAAAAATAGCCACTTACTGACTATTTTAGCTTTAGTTTGACTCAAATTCGAATAGAATACTGATAGCCTCACCCTTCTAGATCTGAAAACAGCGTTAAAATTATATCAGTTTGCGTGCTTTGCAATGAAAATGAAGGCGCTTACTTGAAATTTGAAGGCAATTGTACTACCCTTTCGGTAAGTCACACAGCAATTGAAAAGAAAAGAAGAAAGCTTAAGACTTGAGCAATCGTTGATTTTGAAATGCGAATAGCAATTATGTACTTAGTTACCAAGCCATTGATTTGGAGTGAGGCTGAAGGTGACCCTGTTGTGATGGAAACCAGTATCTAGATAGCATGATAACAAAGTAATTTGCATTTGAAAAGCAGCAAGGTTTGTATCATAACAAGGTCAACAGCCTCACTCCTGCTCAAAGGCTTGGCAAACTAGCACACAATGTAGCTGTGCATTCGCATTTAAAAATCAACGATTGCTCATGTCTTTAGCTTTCGTGTTTTTTCTTTCTTTTTAATTGCTGTGCGACTTACAGAAAGGGTAGTAAAATTGCCTTCAAATTTCATATAAGCAAGACTGCTCTTTACCTCTTCACGAAAGGTTAACCGCGCGTCTTCCTAACTTTAAGAGAAACTGGGGAGAGGAATATATTTCTACTCAGGGGGTAGTGGAAAAATTCCGTTATGGCGACTTAGTAATCAAGTGGGATAGCAAAGATCTAGAACGACACTTCCGCTCTGGCTCCTAATTTTGTCGACTTTTTGAGGTGGACAAAAGAAAAATTAAATTAACCATTTACGTTTCCTGTTTACAAAGATACAATGCAAAGCGTTACGTTGTAACATAGCATGTCACTTTTGTAGTTTTTCAGTGTAAACTACTTCGTCTCCAAGCCTGATTATTTTATGTAGCTAAAGAAGTTCAACTCCGAATTTCATGTGAGAAAGGTTGGTTCAAGAGAGCTCAAAACATCTTTCTTATTCCATTTACAAACATTGAACTGTCGACATTGCTAGCGCTGAACCCCGTAGTATGCAGGACACGTGTCGTATATTAACTTAGCCTCTCTCACCATAGAGTCGATCTCTGTGTGGCTTAGTGGTAAAGCATCGGAGCCTGGATTCCAAAGTCTGGGGTTCGATTCCTCATGGGTACTAATTAATTTCACTTTTGTCCCACGCTCGTGACAAGACGAAAAAACATATTTTTCTATTTCTTTACCGGGATCAAAATTTACCATGTTTTTTATTCTAGTTGCAAATAAACCTATTTTTTGCGACACATAATGTATGATTCAGTTATTCGACATTGAACTTGTACAATTGAAAAAACAATAGTAACTTGTAATCACAGAAATTCTACCATGATTATATTCTGCCAAAGGGGTTTCCTTCTACCTTCGTTCGGAAATCTCAGACAGATTCTTCAACTCGAGACAATCTTTCGCGAAGCTAAATCATCACGTAAAAATCCCTTTCTAATCAATAGAAAGTTGATGCTGGGTGCGGCGCAGAATTAGAGAAAACACATCTTTAAGACGCGTTTTTTCAATTCAGCTGAAGCATGACATCCCAAGAGTCAAAAGTAGCAATGAAACGTCACAATAGGAGACTGATGTTATATGAAGCATAACGTTTGAACTGTAATGTTATTGACTTGAATTTGATATTTAGCAGGCTTAGGTGCGGTTCAAACGTCGAACTTTACGTGTGCCGAATCTAATAATTAGGTTAGCCGTATGTAAAACTCGACGTTTGAATCAATTTGGTTCGACAGATTTGTATTTGGGTCGATCTGCTGTTCTATTTGACCGGGCTTGTCGAATAGATCGGCAAAAGATCGACTTCATTTCATACGTCGAACCGTTTCATGAGCCGAATTTAGTGCATACATTACAAATACATTAAACAAATAAATTTTTAATTTTTCATGCGCACACAACTTGTTTGGCAACAAAATGACGAGAAGAGCGGCAAATATGTGTATATTGTCTCTTGCTTTGAGAGCACGAAATATACATGCCTAAGGTGCATGAACTACTTCTGTATGCCACCAGCCAATATTTCTTTTTAGCCGACGACAAGTACGAACTGGACGAGGAACGATGATGTTCATTTGGAAAAGGAGCAATAATAGAAGGGAAGCCAAGTACAACACTTGTCTTCTCCTGGCAGCGCGGTTATTTAATGCTTACTACATCTTGAGTCGCCTTCTTTTACCCTCCTTCATCACACTTGCAAAAAAAAATAAGTTCTTCATTTCCACAATTTTTCTCCCGCATTTTTTTCCCGCCATTTTGGTAAGCAAACCGTCTGACCGCAATAAAGTCGCGTTCACTTTTCCACTTGAGTTCGACTTAATTAGGTTCGACGTTTGAGTCAACGCCGAACTAAATTATTAAGGTCGACCCAAAGTGGTATTAGGTTCGGCACATGTCAAGTTCGACGTTTTAATTGGGCCTTATAGGTACTGAGAGTTCCGAAATGATGCGATACCGAACTTCTTAGCGACAAAATTATCTGACACGCGCGAGCGTGAAGTTATGAAATTTGGCGTCAAATCGGTGCAATAGTTCGATTCACATGATTATATTTCTGCTCTCATCTTGTTATCACTGGAGTAAAATAAGTTAACTATTGAGGCGAAACGTAAACATGCTGTTGAGTAGAACCACTTCAAAGACGAAATCGAATGATCATTCCAAGTTGCGTTGGGTAATTTTGATTGCATAAAATGTATGTATCCAGATAACACATCGATCTGGTCTCTCATGGACCGATTGGTTTAGCGCTTTTTCACCTTTGATTAAGTTTCCCTGATGACAACTAAAGCTAAACTTACCAGAGTTGTCCTTGGGTCGAACGCTTGTCTTAGACCGATGAAATTTGCCGGATTAAGACAACTGCACTCGCTTCCAGCATGTTTGGCGTGCTTTAAATAAACTTATTTGCATCCTTTGTTTAATTAGTCTTCCCTGAACTCATCCGTGACGAGCGCGCACAATAGAAAATAATGCGGAAAGCTTTTGTACTGCCCCCATATGTCACGTAAGTGCTCTTTACCGCTAAAAACTGCATAAATTACGAATTCATCATCAACTAATTAATGAGAGTAAGTTAATGTTTGTTGGACCAATTTAAAGACACTTAAAGTCTGCTCAGGGCAACGCTAGAGGCAACTTTTGTCGGTTTCCTATCTATCCCCAAAAAGCCAGCTTGTTAGTGTCATTAACACTATAAGACAAGATCTCATGGATGAATAAAGAAAACTTGAGGTAAACAGAAAAAAAATACAGAAGGAATTAACATCAAGAGGCGAAGGTCACCCAAAAAGCTGTGTGTGCTTTTGAACAGCTGTAATCATAACTCCGGCGATTTGGCTTTGAAACAATTGGAAGTAGCCAAGTCCACTTTTAGTTGCCTTGTAACAGGTATATTTCCATATTTTGATTCATGTGTTTCTATTAAAAATATCTCCTGTAAAACGCTATCACGATCTTACAATAACTTCCCATAAACTATTATAATTTTTTTTACCTCTTCAGAGAAATACGACTTGTAGTAGACCTAATCATTATACAATGTACAAAACTCAAAAAACAATGCATTAGATTAATACAAAATTAAGTTTGATTATTCTTTGGGAAGCTGGTAAAAAGCCTTTTATATGATTCCCTCTTTCAATTCGTTTATTGATAATTAAAAGGAGCGTCTGTTACCATGGTTAAGACTTCAGCATCTTGAGAATTTAGACCTAACTAAGGGGAGTCAGGAGCCCATGGGCTCCTGGAGGAGTTTGTCAATTTTCTCAACTACTTGGCATTTACCGTAGTTATTCGGTTATAAGGCGCACTCGGCTATAAGACGCATCCCCAATTCGGCAACTTCATTATTGCATGTTTTCAAACTGAGAAAATCGTTAAAATACTTGGTTATAAGGCGCACCGTTGTTTGGGGAGTAAAGATCGTTCAAGTTTATTGTAAATTCTTTCATAAACTTACAAAAAAGCGAAAAAGTCGCGTATTGATTTTAGTTTACCGTTAATCAACAAAAGCAGAATTGTCGCACACGCGACCACGCACACAAACAAAAGCCTTGATTAAACAAGATGTACCACCGAGAATGCAGGTCTCAGTGCACTAAAAAGGCTGAAAGGATGAAGAAGGTATTTACCTCTTCGCTTGTTTATTTTCGTTTCGTTTTGTGACGTATCAAATTACTAAGCACGTGCTCTCCAGCACGTATCACATCTATGCAAATTTGACTTCGCTTGTCTTTTCAGAACCACCATATTCATAAAAGTCAATGCGTGTGTGTCATTTTATTTGCTTGAAATCGTACTAGTAACTGTGATCAAAAAAAATTGTTTCGGGAAAATATTCGCCTATAAGACGCACCCAAACTTTAAGGTAATTTTTAGTAGAAATTAGGAATTTCTTGAAAAAAACGGTGCGCCTTATAACCGAATAGCTACGGTACTTGGCATTACACAAGCGGACGTTGCACAGTCGCACACTGCTCACTTCTGAGAAGAAAAATGCCATAATGCATGCCTCTCTGAGATATTTTCTCTGAGAGGCAGATCTTACAGATGATGTTAACAATCAAATATTGACAGAAACAGGCAGATTATCATAACTATTAATCTCGTTCTTGTCGACATTATTACTAAATTATAGTTATCATCGTTATCATTAAACATCGTAAGAAAAAAGCGGCATTAATACATCAATTTTGTGCCAGTTAGTAGTATGTCCAGTAGAAGATATTGTAGAGGATAAAAACTGATGGAAAAAGAACTCGCGATGCTTTATCGATCTTGCTCGCTATCATTTCCATTCTTTTGCTTTTGGTACTCCTCTCTCTTTGTATTGATGAATTATCGTCCACCACGATCTTACCAACTTTGGTTGCCCTGTGTACCATTTCCAGATCGTCACCCGAACCAATGTTTGAAACTCCTCCATTTGGAGAGTTAGTTGAAGAAGACTTTGAACCAATCACGGACCTCAGGGACGACGAGAATCTTTTCGTTAGAGGAATATCGTTCTTCTAGGAAATTGAAATATTTACTTGGATTAGGGATCATTCGTTACTTATCGTCTGGGAGAGAGAGGAAAGGGAAGGTTTGGAGGAATCACATGCCTTTCAGGGAGGAGAGATTAGTCATCTCCAAAAGAGTAACTTGGGAAATTGACTGCCAAGGGCACTATCTAAAGAATAACACAGAGGCTTAAAGGAGGTCATGTAAATTTTATTGTGACAGAAATGTTATATTATAGTCTCCCCTTATACCCTGTTGGCAACGGTTGATCACTGATCTCTCCTCCTTTCCCCCTGGAAACCATGTGATCCTTTCTCCAACCCCCCCCCCCCCCCCCCCCCCCCCCCCCCCTCTCCCGGGCCCGGCGCTAATTAACGATCGAACGCTTACCTTGTATTTAATCTGTGTCTCATCCTGTTTGGCTCTCGATGCAAAAAGAAACACGACCATGCATTCCATCAACGACAGGAACACAAAGCTAAATGACACTAATAGATACCAGTCCAAAGCCTTGGGGTAGCTGACTCTGGGCAAGTTCCCGTTAAGAGAACCAAGAAGAAACATGATGGTTAATATAGTGGTGATTCCCAAGGCCATTCTGTTTCCCATATCATCTTTTTCCATCCAAAAGACAATCCAGCTTAGCGTCACGACAAAAATGTCTGGAAAGTAGACTTGGATGAGGAAATAACCAATGCGCCGCTTAAATGAAAACGTGACTGTCAAAGTTGAGAAATTTCCTGTAAATGATGCAGAAAATTAGGGTCATGAAACATAAAGAGACTAATGAAATGAGACTAAAACAAATGATCACCAATGAGGATATATCCAAAACGAAAGCGAACAGAGGTCTATTTGCGCATGCTCGACATTTGACCTCCGTGTTGTCAAAAAAAATGCTACCTTGCATTGTTCTCGACTGACCTGTGTCAAACACGTCTGTTCCCGATGTCAATTCAGAGCCTTTGTAATCAAATTGCGCCATTTCTTTGTTTCCTACATCAATCTCTGTTTTGTCAGCGATCCACTCAAAGACGATGTCCTCAGTAGTGTACCCATCTTTACGTTTCATAGTAGAGGACAAACATAAAAAAGCTAGATAAAGATTCTGTGATAATGAATAATAAACGGAATTGCCTAGGACATCTGGGTTGAGATTTGATTTATATGACATTCATGAGGACTTGAATTGCAATGAAAAATTGGATCAATGTCAGTATATATAGCAGCTACTCACCTACCCGTCCCAAAACCCAACAATAGTCAACTGATAACAAATCATGGTTAATTTTGTGTTAGAGAAGGGGTAGGTACGCAGTTGTTCAAATGTTGACATTGATATGATAAACTTGTTATTTAACGTCACTTACAACTTCCAAACTTCAAGGTACATCTCTGGGAATCCATTGGGAAATTCCGAAGGTCCATAACACACGAGGCGAGAAGAGTAACCCTGGATTATGTAATAATTTTGACGCAAATAAGGACTCGTAAAAGTTGGTTAAGAGAGGATATGCGCGGTAAAAACGCAATTAAACAAGCTAAACAGACAATCTGCCGTGCATTCATATTTCCCTGTCTCTGGCCATGTGAAAGTATTTATCACTAATCAATGTAAAACGTAAAACTTTAAATTGAAGCAATTCATTCAAGACTGAAATTGCGCACGTTCTTGTCGAAAAAATTATTTCGCTCAATTAAAACTTAGTTTTTATCTAGTAGACGCATGAGGCTTAAAACTAGCTTGATTGGATGTGTTTTTCGGTGGTCGTGAGGGTGCATAGTATAGATTGAAAAACTATCGGTTCTTTGTTTTCTTAATTACTAAGAAAGAATAAGCAAATATGACTGGTTCATAAAGAGTTCCATTTGCTTCCTGTCAAATTTGAGCAGTTTTCTATGAATGGGTCTGATGCTATGGCCATTTATCATCCTGGATTACTTGTAGTCCTCCGAGTTTCATTTTAGTGTCAATTAATTACCCTCTGCTGTATATTATTTCTCCGTTTGGTTTAATTTTAAGATTGCTGTGTGTCTCTTCGTCAGGCATCATCATGTTCGACTCGCGTGCATTATAACAGTAGGGATCTGGGACCCAGATATTTTCGATATCACCTCCTTTTATGGTAAGGGTGTAGTTAAGCTTTCCAGCGAGGCGGAAGTCCGTCCAACGCTGCCGAAAATAGGTGTACACCTTGTATTCCTGTCGAATGAAAAGCAAAGCCTTCCTTAGTCTGCACCTGAAGTCTGCTATAGTCAAATTTCTAAGTTATACTTGTATTTTTTTGAAGCGAAATTGCCCCCCCTGAAGTGCGTTTATATCTTATCCTTTACATCGCAGAGATAAAAAAATGAAACAGAGATAAAAAAAAAAAAAAGTGAAACTGCTGGCTTTATAAACCGGCTTGGGTATCCAGTTGCGAACAATTTTCGTGCATTGTCACACAAGCCAGGATTTTAAAAGAGTAATTAATACTTCAGATTTCGATCGCATCCTCAATTCTTAACGTTGTTTATTAGATGGTTTTGATTCTGATTTCTAGTTACAAGCCCTGAGGAAACCACTAATGAAATATTCATTTCAATTTGGCTTGAAGCGCAATAACAATTTATTCCACTTTTTGCCAAGAAGATTGTCATCATCTATCAAGTATCCGATCTTTACTTCTTTAAACATACCATGTTAGCCTCCTCAATGTTTCCAAAAGATTCCACATACAAGTTACAATAGACGATCGTGGGCTTCTGTTCCTCTAAAGAAACAAAAGTTCACAAGTTCTCTAGGTCAAAAAATTTGCAATCGCCCCCATGTCTAATGCTAAGCCGAACCCTGAGCACTACGATTTGCGTCAGATTATTTCTTGGACCTGTGTGAATGGTTTGCCTCTCTTTATTGCGAGTGCGGGTATGCGGATTTCGGAAACGGAAACCGCAAAAGTAGACTCTGTCTTGATCTTCTCTCACTTATATAAAAATTCTTGGAAGTGCTTAACCTTTCTAATGATCTTATGACCTAAAAAGTTTTTCTTTTTGGATTTACAGCCAACGAAATTTTCTGAACAGTTTAACTGAACAGTTTCAGTCCAAAATAACGAACGACATTTTTGCGACTAAAGGATAGTGCACTGATTTCTCCTTGCCCCCCCCCCACGCCTTTTTTTTTTTGTTCCTCTATGTTTCCCTCACACCCCCCTCCTCAAAAAATCCCGTCGATTGTTGATTGCTAGTTACTCTTTACTTACCAAAGTTGGGTCTTATTGCCTTATCGTAGCCAGAGAAAAATGTCGAAATAACATCACCATTTGCTCTGTAAGGAAGGAAAAAGACGCAATCATATGTCGGATATTTGAAGTGCCTTAATAGATGTCTAATAGTTGAATCATTAGTTGATTGACGACGGCGATAACAAAAGTGTCCTGAAAAGAGTCAAGAATGCAAAGTAAAGGAATACTTACAATCGCAATAGCAGGAAAATGGAAAAGATAATCTTGAAAACAGTTTTAATAGAAAATTGCGTCATCCTTTTTTCCTAGAAAAAAAAAAAAAGAAAAAAAAAGAAAGCAAACAAAGCAAGCTTGTTTGGTCGTGATAAGGAGGCTGACAATTCCTTATCATAAATTCAGAATTGCGCGAGTTTCGCGACACCGACGAGATGGCTCTTTTATGTCGTTACCCACCATTTAGAGTCAAAAGCTTTCAGTTTAACTGTTCAGTTGATAGATTTGTGAATGTTAAGTATAACGATGCGATTCGAAATTCTGTTTCATGATAATTATTACGATGAGCAATTTATGCGTATTGTAGAGCTTAGGATACTACAAATTGACATTGCATAACATAGCCGCCAACAACGAAAAGGAAGCGACGCAATAATATTGCTTCGCTTCCTTTTCCTTCGCTTTCTATTCGGCGTGTCATTGAAAGGGCTCGATATGTAGGGAGGTGTGTAGCGAAGTCGTATTTAGTGAGACGAATGCGTGTTTCTACATGCAAATTGACGATACAGAAGACAAACGGTAATTACGTTAGAAAGCTACCACAAACAGATCTCGAGTTTTTTGTATCATTTTGTCATTTTATGAAACTTGCTATGAGTCAGTTGAAATCTCTACACAATGATTCGTTTTGCTCTCTCAAAGAGAAATCAAGAGTTCACGTTCCCTTGATGAAAGAGGTTTTATGAAATGCCTACGTAACTATCACTACTGTTGTGCTGCCCACTTAATGAGCGCGTACGAATGAAGAGCTAACTTTTGAAAAAGTTCTTTAGCTTCCTTAAAATGAAAGAAAACTGTAGAAGAAGAATACTTACCAGAATTTCTTAAGCTAATGTAAATCTACTTCTCTTTGAAATCGATTGCCACACAACTTCCACGAGCACATGTAATTTAAGTAAACATCATTCCGTTGCATTTATTCGACTGGTAGTTTGCATTTTGATGTAATTTGCATTTTCAATCACGCATTATTCCTCATTTTTATAAACAATAACACCCATTTGATACCTACTTGCACTGTGGGGCCTGCTTTTATCTTTGCTTAGCAGACCGTTGACTTAAACAGACGCATAAATCGCTTCACGCTGAGAATTATAATGCGCAGATAAATAAAGCTACAAAGAATAATAAAGCAGATGATATCAATGATGAACAAGGAGAAAAAGAGAAAAAATTATTGGTTTCACAACTGATGCGACGAATATTCAAGGATGAGTTTCTAAAGAAATCGTGGTGTAAAAAGATAATTTGGTTTTATCAAATGAGTTGATAATGTTAATTGGCCACCGTAAAGAGAGAAACTCTTTACGGTGACCAATTTACATTATAAACTCAGTTGATAGAACCAAAGTAGCCATAAATAGTGATCAAATGAGTTTACAGTGATGGATTTGATGATGTGAATTAGAATTTCATAACTGGCAGACTGAAAAAAAATTCTTAACGCCATGTGAAGCTTTCGCAAATTCTTCATTATGATCTCTGATCTCCTGCTGATATCAAAATGACCAAAAATGGAAAGCAGGAAGTACTGCAAAGACTCATGATAAAATTGAAAGAAAAAGAACAGCAGTAAAGATATATTTTTTGAAGCATTTGAAACTCGGGCGCTTAATTCAGTTAACGTTCTCTCTGTCTGTTTCATTCTTTGTCAGAAACTCTGCTCACAAGTTTGAGAAGGAGAGCATTATCAGCGTATTTCAGGAAATATTTTATCTTCAAGAATTCTTAAGTTGACAGTTTTATAGATTTGAAACATCGTGCAATGCGTAAGCATTTGTTACTCATTTTATTTTCCTTAATTCTTTTGCGAAACGTTAACGTTTAGTTGTGGATGTCATTGTAAAATTTGTCTTCCACCTCATTTATGTCTTTATGGGCAAGTTTGTTTATTGCATGTAAGTACTTCTGATGTGTGGTCGACTTGATGTTACCTGTCTTCCTTTTTTAGCAACGCGTTTATCAGTAGAGTTTCTCTTCTAGCGCCTGAAACTTACTTCAAAGTATTATTAACGAAAAGAATCTTTAACAGTGAATAAAATATTTCACTTAGAACCTATATGCTTCGGCATGTGTGCTTGTTACATTGATTTCAATCTGCATGCTTCTCAGCCAGGTAAAGGAATCCGAAATTGATCATTGATTCGGCAGTTGAAACAAAATGAACATATTTCACATTTTATCCGTGAACCGTCTGCTTATTCGTTGATGTGGCTAGTTTCGTTTCACTTTTTTTCCTGTGATGCTTACTCAAGTTTCTTTCCAGGAAGGGCGTATACAGCCCAGTAAACAATGTTATAAATTAAAAAAAAAACTGGAAACAAAAATCGAGAAGCCCGATCAACGCGATCAGCGGCTGTTGTCTGGCAACTGCTGTCAATCTTATATCTGGGCAGCCTATCATCTTTAATCATTCCGTCCTTCCTTTCTGAAGAGCACAGCATGTGAGCTTCGCCATTGATATTCACTTTTTTGTTTCTGTTGACACTATTTTCAAGCGGAGGCAGCCTCAGCTCACTGATATCCAATGTTGATAAAGGAATTGAACTCAACTGCAAAATAAAAAAAAAACGCAAGGAAGCCTTTTGAGTTACTGAGAAAAGTTTTCAAACCCTAAAAACAGTTTTGATATCAATGAATGGAAAGGTGAATATTTTCTCTTGGTTAACATTAGGGAGTAGTTATTATTTTGTTCTAGAGGGGGGGGGACATCCCCTCAAATTTATACTCTGTTGGCGAAGACTGATCCCACCTGCGTACTCCCTGAAAACTATGCGATTCTCCAAAGAAAACCCTCTACCCCATTCCTTCCCAATTAAGCAATGAATAACGGCTGCTCCTAAATCAAAAGACCTCCATGTATCCTTCAATCTATAAACCCTTTCAACTAATTTGTAGAATCACCCTACATTAACTTTTGCTTGACGCAAAAATATTTTTCGTTCTGCTTTCAGCACTTCACACATTAACGCAACCACAAATAGCACCGCGTCAAAACAAGTACTCATGATCAATTGGCAGGACGTTTACCTTATATTTTGATTTATCCTTGTCATTTCCAGACCTCAAGGTAAGTATAAACACGACCATACATTCAATTAGCGACAGAAACACAAACGTGAAGGAAACTAGCAAATACCAGTCCAAAGCTTTTGGGTAACTGACTCGAGGCATGGTCGCATTAAGAGAACCAAGAAGAAACATGATGGTTAATATGGTTGTGATTCCTAAAGCCATTCTGTCCCCCATTTCTTTCTTGTCCATCCAAAAAACAATCCAGCTCAGAGCCACAACCAAAACGTCGGGAAGATACACTTGAATTATGTAGTAACCAACTCGTCGCTCAAATGTAAACTTGACTGTGACCGTCGAGAAATTCCCTGTTTAACATATACATCATGTAGTTTGAAGCGTGAGTCCATTACAATTATTTCATATTAAATATTTATTTATATTTTTTTTTCGATCCGACGAAGGGCTAACGGTCGAAATTTCAGCTCTAGAAACCCTTTACGATGATCAATTTGCATTATAAACTCAGTTGATAAAACCAAATTGTATTTTATAGAGTATTATATAGTACAACGCGATAATGGAAATTCTAGTCCCTTTTTTTCACGTAGCTCATATACATATATATTTTTTCATTTCTTGCGCTTTTCGAGTTTTCTCGCGGCAACAACTTTGCTACCTAGGATAAACCATTTCTTTATCCCAGATTTATTAAAACAGGAAGGATCTAAAAAAGAGTGCAATTAAAAGGGTAAAATAAGTTTGGACTTAGCTTGGAAATTCGCACGATTTAATTTTTAGTGGACTGCTTTCGATCTGCTATAAGACGCTTACGAAAATCTAAGAAAATGCGAAAGAAAACGTCGCAAAAATTAACTTCTCTAGGTCAAAATTTAACTTTCAAAAATAGAACTGATTTGTTTACCGATTCTTTATAAACCAACAAATACTTGACGATACATTACTTTCCAGGTTAATAATTCTGCTGTCAGAACAGAAATTCGCAAAAGTTTCTTCCCGCTATTCCCCCACCAAAAAAAGAAAATCACCCATTCGTGAAATTACAAAGCAAAGTCTTTTTCGTACTTCGCAATATATGTGATATTCAGTTTTTCTGACTCGATCATCTCTTTTCTTTATCGATCAACTGACGCATTATTTATTAATTGATGAAAAAGGAAGCAATTTTTTGGTAACAAAGATGTCGCTACGCTAATAGAATTGAAAAATCCAGCGTTTGAAATGATTCTTACCAACGCTATACTCGTCTATGCCCGAGGAAAGTTTGTTGCCTATGTACTCAAACTGGGCCATTTCGTTATTTCCAACAGAAACACCTGCAGGTCCCCATTCAAAATGAATATGATCTGTGCTGTATCCATCTGCAGGACAAAATACATGCAGAGTATTCCACTATTAGCCGTTTAACTCTTAGAATTGACCGACCTACAACTTCTCCTCATAGCTTTAAAACATTTTAAACGAAACAGGTGATGAGAATACACAAGCTGATCAGCCTAAGTGTTCATTTTTGATATAAAACCAAATTCTCCTCCTTTAATTTAAAAGGACATATAGAGCAGCTGGAAGGAAGAATTACTTCTTAGATCTGGGGAGTTAATTAAGATTTTAAGTATTAAGCATTCTTTACGTTCACAGCCGAAAGTTTAAGATTTACTCACAGCTTCCGAATTTCAGACAGCAACTTTGGGAGTCCAGAGGAAAATTCCGCAGATTCATGTCGCAAGAGGCTAATAGCGTCACTCTGAGTAAAAATATATAAGTGAAAAGAATCAACTTAGGGTGCTGTAAACATGACCCTAATGACTAAGTAACTGTCTGACTGACTGACTTTGCCACTGACAGACTGGCTGACCTAAAGAACTGAATTACTGACTGACTGGCTGGCTGGCAAAGTGACTAACTGAATGAGCGACTAACTTACTGTGTGACTGACTAACTGGCTGATTGGCTAACGACTGACTGACTGAACGACTGACTAACTGACTGGCTGACCGACTGACTGGCGAGCGGGCTAAGTGACTTTATGACTGAGCTACTGACCTAATGACTGACCGTTCGATCGACTCAGAGACTGACCATTTAACAAATGATTGACCAGCGGATCGACAAAACTACATGGCTGATGCTTACCGACTCACTCACTCACTTGCTCTCTCACTATCTAGCTTACTGACTTATCAGTCTTGCTAACTATTTGAGAGAAGTAAAAGTTTGTCTCACTTTTACTTACCCTTTGCTATACAACACGTCACCGTTGGGTTCAACAGATATCCTGCTATGCAGCTGCGTATCTAACATCATCATATTTGACTCGCGGGCGTTGTAACAATAGGGATCTGGTACCCAAATTCTGTCAATGTCAGCTCCGTTTATGGTTAGGGTGTAATTAAGCCTTCCAGCTAGGCGTGAGTCTTTCCATCTTTGGCGAAAATAGCCGTATATCAAATATTCCTGTTCGTGAAAAGAAATCATGCGATAAACTGCGATAAAAAAAGAAACAGTTTATCAAGGTATCAAATTTCTTTCTAAGGGACCGGTCATTCTTTATTGGGAGAGTGGAGGGAGGGGGATCGGAGTATTTTCGTTGTACCACAGTTAAATTTACTTAACCCCCCTCCCCTTCCCCTAAGGCTCTGTAGTATTCAAATGATCCCCCTCATTGGCAGTCAATTTTATTTAGTAACTCCTTTTAATTCTGCTAGAGTTTAACGTCCACTCCCTCCCTGAAAACCATATTATCCTCTCAAATCCTGCGGAGTTCTTCTGTATTATCAACCAATTTTGGTCTACGTAGTCTCTGATTTAACCCTTTAATCCCCAAGATCTGATGAGTAATTCTCCCGCCTAGCTGCTGGACATATCTTAAATTAGGTGTGAGAATTTGGTGTTAGATCAACTTCGACCTGAGTTTGAATATTCTCATTAGCTATTTGCTAGATAATCTAAGTTTCATGTTGATCACTTCTGAGACTTAAAGGGTCAACTACAATGACCGACTTGTTTTGTTTATTTACCATGTTGGCCTCTTTGATGTTTCCAAAAGCTTCCACATACAAGTCAACCGAGACAGTTAAAGGTGTCCCTTTATCTGAAAGCATTTTATGAACAGTTAACAACGGAATCGAATCCAGTCGTGAGAGATCACATCAAGAACGATTGTAGATGACAGTACAGTTAAATAGTGAAATAGTTCTTAATGCACGCAACCTCCCCTCCCCCCCCCCCCTTTTCGCCCCCCTTACCTAATGATATTACCGATTTGAGATCAATAAGGTTTTGAACTAGCACTTCAAGGTACGCCGGAAGTAATCGTAATCTTAACGAAAAAAGTTAAAACGAATCTAATTAATATGTAAGAACACATGCGAACATTTCTTTATTTTTTTTAGAACCTTATCAACATTTCGCAATCCGGACGAGCACATTCTCTCTTGTGATGTTTTTATTAAGAGATTGTAAAGTTGATTGTAAGCAGAGTCTTTGAAATTTAATTCTGTCTGATATTTTTTTTAGCAGAACAAGCTGAAAAAAACTTTCAAAAATGTAATGACCCTTTGCCTGAGCAGAAAGGACACTTTAGCTTAATATGCGCGTTACACCTTTAGCTTTGTCATCGCTGGACATTTTGAATTTTTAAGGATTGATATCTGAACCCTGTGTCAAGGAGTCCCTACAGAATTATTGCTCTTCAGTCTGTCATCTTACTGTTTGATATTAGAAAGAAAAAATGTCCATGAATAGCATCTTACCAAAGTTAGGTCTGATTGCTTTGTCGTACCCGGTAAAAAACTTGGTCAGCAGATCACTTCCACAAAAGACCCTGTAAAAGTTGATTATGTATAGTAATAATGATAATATTAGAGATAATGTTAATGATAATAATATTAATAAGAATTATAATAGAAATAATGGTGTCGAGATACAAGGTCGTGCAATAGATTAGTGCATATTATTCTATTAAGCTATCTTACTGTCGGAAAATGACTGTTCCGCGGAGTTGAAATGGGGGCGGCTGAAAATGCTTTTTAACTTCTTTCCTTAGCCACCATAGCGTCAATTTCTAAAACCCGCCTTGAAAATTTAAACTTGCGAGCGTCTTTCGCTGTAAAAATTCTCTTTGTGTATAAATATTGTATACTCCCGCAATGCGGTTTACGCCAGACTGATTAGTCCTCATCTAATAATAATTTTCGCATGCGAAAACAAAATTTGTCCAATATATCTCCGTAACCATGAGGAATCATCGCTTACCTTCCAGAGTTTGTGAGAAGAAGAATCAACAGCGCCCTTGTACTTGAGTAACGACTCTTCGTGTGGAATGCTTTCATCATTGCTAAATACAAAACTGAGAAAGGTCAGTTATAATGACATTAACGTATTGATTAGACTTTAGTCCTCAAGCATAAGTATGCAAATAGGTGATTTGTGTTTTTTTTCTTTTGTTAGACTCAAGCTATCCAGAAGTTTGCTTGACTGTTGGATTGATGTTTTTTCCTTTCAAATTTGTTGGTATTCGACATAATTGCGTCCGCCTTGCTGATATCAGCTCTTAGGGAATGCGTAGCTTCCCTGACAAACAACATGTTTATCCAAAATACCGCAAATGAGAACAAATAAATTCGAAACATTTGAAGAAGTCACACTTTTTTTGTACCATCAACTATACTCGACTATATATGACCAGGGCCGGAGAAAACTTGGATCAAAACAACGTCAGTAATTTGTGCAAGGATCTTCTTTAGTTTCTTCCGAGATCTTGATGTTGACGTATATTTCAGATCCTTCCTCGCTACCCATATTTCACTCCAATTCCAGTCCAGAACTTTGTACGAAAATAATCTACTATTGTGCTATGAAATCACGAAAAAAGACGACACAAGAACTCGCTGACAACGCTTCTTTTAATTAAAGGAAAGCATAATAACATTGTTCAGAACTGTGCGTTATTTGCCTCCTTTTAACTGTTACGTACCTTTGCCTTTGTATTCGACGTTAGCTTACAGTCGAAAAAAGAAAGAAAAGAATACTTGTATTTGTCAGAGTGGAATAGGAGATTCCGAGAACTTTTCAGTTATAGAGAGTCAAAATCATTTAATAACTTACGTTTTTAACAGCAGAATCTTTGTAAACACCTCACATGAAACAAGGTCTGAATTGGATAGATAATCAGATCTTATCTGTTTTTTTGTTTCCATGAAAATAACAAAAACCCTAGACACAAGAAGCTGACCATTGTTTCATTTCACGCAGCAAGGAAATAGGCATAAATGTTTGGAATTTTATTAATCGTAATTTGGTGATGGATGGAGTTGCGCTTGACGTTTCGAATCCTTTGTTGTTACGTAACGAACGAAAATAACAGTCGAACTGATGAAGAAAATTAGAGTTTTAAATTGGTGATGTATAATTCTACGGAGACTGTGATCTAAAGCTCCCTCGATTCAGCACAATTTTTTAGCTCAGGCGTACGGTTTTTGCATTTTTTTTTCACCTAAAAATACTATTGAACCCTAGTTGATATTTCATTTAGAATAATGAACCCGAAATTATTTCATCATTTTTCGATCGAATTAGACAAAAATAAAACGTTTTTCGAGTATCTGGGGTATTCTGTCGTTTCAGTGTTCATGAATTTAAATAAAAAATCCCACGTCTTTCTTTAGGTGTAAAAATTAAACAAAAACAAACGTGATAAATGCATGATTCTTTTCTGACTTTTAATTAAATTTCCTAAGAAAAAGATTAAATTTTTAGCCGTATAGCAACACGAGCAAACAAAGATTTATGCATCTATAATTGTCATTTTTTTAGAATAAATGCTCTTAGCTACTTAGGGAAGAAATTTTAAAAATTCTTTCCGATTGCATACATGTAAAACATGGCTGTACAAAGCAATTTAATAAAACGGATTATTTTTTAAAAGATAAAAGCAGTAAAGCTGGAAAACTAAGCTTTCATTTAAAAAAATTCCTTATACAATCTAGCCGATACAAGTTGACTACGGAGAAAATTTTAATTTGCACCAGTTGTAGATCGACCAAAAAATTAAAAGCAAAACAAACTAGAACGCGCATATTAAAAAAAAAAAAAAAAAAAAAAAGGATGCTTCGGTTACCAAAACTTCTGTATATTAATTTATTTTGAAAGCAGTCCTACACTTTCCTTTGCCGATTTCAGCATTTCAAAGTTCGCTTAGATCAATCAGAGCTCTCGACAACTGAGTTGATGCTGGAAAAGGAGTATAAGGAGTGTATACAGAGTGAGATCTTACAAGTCTTTATCTCGGAGAATATATCATTGGAGTTAAATCTAAAGCAAATTGGGTCCTACTGAAAATACTAACTGACCATTAATTCGGAAGAACATATCAGTTTACAAGCAAGAGCAGCAAGACTTCTTCCTGTTTTTAAATGATAAACCAGATCACTGCAATTCTAGAAAATATTTTCCCAAAGTTATAACTTAAGAACTCTGGGCGAAATGGAATCCTTTAAAGGAAAATGGTGACAGCTGCTCACGAAATTTACCCCCATACGATTCTAAATTATTCACAAAGCCTTTCCAGATGAACTCATTACATTTAGAAATCTCTCATTCCGAAAGTTGAACAGGTTTTGGAGGACAAAACACTGACTGTGAGTCTCATTCGTTACCTACCAATCTATATCTCGAGTTCACGGCTTCCCAACCACTCGATCTGATCAGTTAAAGGCGTCAAATCTTTCAGTTGCATGTGCGTGGTTATTTGGGACAATATTAGCATCCCCGGTTTTAATTTTCTCTGAAGGCACTGTTTAAAATTCCAGGTCTGCTTTTAGCTGTATTATCTTGTCAATCCAGCGGTTGGCGTTGAATTTCCTTGCGGTGCGCAAAGTAACCCAGCATTAATCCGACACGAAACACCTTCAAAATCACTTCGAGTAGTTAAGCATCTTTAAAAAGGTTTTAATCCTCTTATGTAAACATGTACTGACACTACAAATTGCTTCAGGGACATTTTTTCTTTAAATACTAACATAAACAACGGATTCTATTATTACGTTTGACTTTTTGCTGCTGCTGACAAGTGAAGGTCAGGTGTTAAAAAAATGTAGTTAACAAACTAAAGATTATTTCATTTTGCCTTTGCAGACGTGAGAAAATGTTGAAGATATAAGTTTAAAAGCTCCGAACTCTGACTATGTTTATTATTTATTAATTTTAAGTAAGGATTAGATTTTCATTTTTCGCCAAAATAAATTCCCAAATTACGTCATCTGATTTTATACATATTTTCACCTAGATTGAAAATAAATGCCCAATTTCCTGTCAATTTAATACCCGAAGACACCGCATTGCACTCAAGTCGAGGATGTGGTGTCTGTCTGAAATCTGACGACAAAACGTAATTGCGCTGACAAAATAATTACGAAAAACTTTGCTGTATTTGCCGCGGTTGTAGTTGAGTTTTATGGTGCGTCCTAATGAATCACGCAAGGCGCAATTTTGCATTTAGTTCTAGTTTGGATGTGCGTCATTTATCATGGTTAAATAGTTTACTTTGAAGAAACACTCATGTGTCATGCTTTCAAATTTGGTTTCTAAATTTGAAACAGACTTTGCTCACCACAAACCACAGTTATCACTACTCCTTTCTGTTTTTTTAGGTGAGGGAAAAAAGGCATATGTTTTTAGCCTTTGGTGAGGTTTTATCGTTTGACTTTGATCAAGACTAGTCAAAGCACTGAAAGACAACATCGACATACGTGAATGCTCAGTTTATCGTCATATCTTTGGGGTCCATGGCGTTTAGAGTTGAAATGATTTCAGGTTGCTGCTCGAGGCGTTTAGGATAAACAATGAAGCTGAAAAGTAGACATATAATATAAATCCATTATCCAAATAGATAATGATCATGTCAGGTTTAGAATTCAATCAATTTTATATTGTGATCAGGGCATATAAGCAGACAGCTACACGCAAGCTCAAACGTACTTTAACCTTTCAGCTCCAAGTGATTAACATGTAACTTCTACCTATAATATCCATACATAATTCCGCAAACAGGCAATGAAAATACTCAAACGTATAAGGTAGAAGTTGTTATCTTGATCTAACACAAAATATTCGTTATTAGTTTACAAGAAAATGTGTGGCAATTACAGGGGACAGTTAACAGACAATCATATCTTGGAAGTTTAGGGGGTTGACTAACTGAACATGAAAAAGTGGAAACAGACATAAAATGCAAAAAACTTCAATGTGAATGCTAGAGGAGTAGAAGAGAGTCTGAAGAATGCAGAAGTAAAGAAAAACCTGTTTATGAAATAAATTTTGATCACAAGTCCAAAATATTTATAAGAAAAGGTTTAGTCATGTTTATTGCTCAATGCTAGCAGTCACCCTGTCTAAAGTGGTCGGTTGCCGAAAACCAGAAATGGTTTACCCTGAATCACTGTAATTTGTACCTCTGTTAAACGGTTACATCTATTGCGCAGTCGCGGTGTCCCTTTAGAAAGTCTGAAGAGGGCCTTTTTGTATTGTCTTCCTCTTGTATTGAATGGTCACTATTTTTGAGAAAGATTCTGTACATTTATGGTTCTATTATGGCATAAAATGGCGCCCTGTACCGCTTTTTGTAATACCCCTTTTCTGTAGAGCCAGTGTCAAGCGCCATTCCCCGTGAGTGACCACTTAACGCAGGTTAGACTGTAATAATCGCATAATAATTGAGGAATCTTGAGCTTCTTCTTTAATGCAACAGCGCAGTCAATATTTCCTATTTGAAGAGACATTATCCCGAAAGAGTGACAAGAGTGACTCTGATTCACCCCTTAATAATTAGGCTTTTCGTGCATCAGGTGCGTTCAAAATGTTTATGAAGAAATGTAATTAGATCAAGGTGGGCGATTGCTTTCTACGTGCTTTTTATTGTGGGTTATTTCGTAGTCTCCATAAACATTTTAAATCGGATTCCCTTCCCCACCCTGGCCTACGGCGGTCAGTTGTTTGTTTGCATGATTTCTGATCGTCTGGATGTTTTTCATAATATTTCGGAAATATTTTTCAGTTTTCGAACACATTGCATACCTTGCTCTTCATATGGGTGCTGTCTGAGTGATATGCATGACAAGCACCCAGAGTGAATAATTGCGGTACTGCGAAGCAGAAGGCAGTATTACCAAAGGAGAAGAAGATAAGTGAGGATCATTGTGATTATTTGACTTCCCTTGTGGTAGATATCGTAAAAAGTGGGCCGACTTTCCGAGTACCGATTATCAGACAAGTATTTTTGGCATGGAAAATAACAGGAAATCGTCATGAAATATTGGAGAATATGACCTTGTGGCTACACAGGAACTCCTACATGGCTAAGTGACAGGAACTCGATCTCAGCCCACTCAATGAGCTGTAGAAACAAACTATCCTCCGCATGCATTTAGTTCGTCTTTTTCTCTCAGCGAAAAGCGATTTTCATCCCTATTACCTTCCCATTCACTCGATGAAACGCGAGCTATGATTGGTTGAAACCGTGTTCTTTAAAAGAGATCAGAAGTAAAAACAAATTTTTTTGCTTCGGTAATTTGACTAATGTGACTCGCATTAAACGTTTCCTTTGGCTTCTATGATGGGCAAGCTCGCAACAAAAATACGTTGTTTTCAAAGGAAATTTTTTTTACTTTGGAAAGGGCCCAAGGAACGACTGAAAGCGAAAGTAACTCTAAAGACATATCTTATTTCAAGAATGAAAAATTTACGCAACAGGATTATATGATTTCTCTAAAAAGAGCTGCAGAAAGATTACGAATAATACAACAATCACGTTATTATGCATTTTCTTTAAGAATTACTTAGCATGACTCGACATATGTTTCAAATACTTCAGCTATTTTATTCTGTCACGTCAATTTAAACCCAATTAGTCAGAATTAAAACTTCATGTCGATCAGGATTAGTGGCACGACAATGCACATTACTGTTGTGCAACACTCGGTGCAATCATGGTCCGTGGTTTTTTGTTTCGCTTTAAAGCTTATTTTTTATTTATACTCAAATAAATAAGATAAGTACGATGCAAATATCCGCCACACTTGACATATCCCCACCAGCTATTTCTCACAAGTTTTGCTTTTCAGTGTACATGAAAAATGTTGCTGTGCTTCTTCTTGTTATAAGCGACCTCTTCCAAAACTGGCATGCCAGGTTTTTGCTAGTATAGATATCTCGCTAAGAACACTTGCCAAGGTTTTGCCCTTTTGAGGGAAACTCAACTTACTAAGTTTCCGTTGTAATATATCTTTCTGTTGCTTTTCATTTTTATAAGTGAAGGGTGCGATGGAAAACTTGCTCTATGCTGACTGCAGCTATATAATCAGATCAGTCAGTTAACAAGTACAAAGGAAATTGTTAAGCGGATTCGACTTCAAAGAGTTCCCTTGGCAAATTGTTTTTGTGTACGCTCTTTCAGTTTCAAAAGCGGTCTTCAGCTAATCAGTCTCAAACAAAAATGGTAAAGAAAACCCAATATGCAACATTGAATGCAATAAACAAAAGTGGAAAGAGATATCGGGATACTTTGTCAACAAAGTCTGCTGCTGTCTCCTTTTTGCTCTTGCCGATGAGATCTGCAAGAGATGAGTCATCCACAACAGATTTATCGGATTTGCTCGCGTAGTCAACCATCTCGAGATCATCGTCTCCGAAACCTTTGTTGTAAGTGATATGGTTGTTGGCTACAGAAGAGTCGGCACCCTTGTTTGCACCAATGGCTGATTTAATGGATTGAGAAATCATTCTACCCAAAGGCTTTTCTTTAACCTAAAGGAAGGCAAGAGAAAAGACGTGGAGAGAGGATTTGGAAAACTGCACAAGAACTCGTGCACAATACTGATGCACAGTGTCTGTACATTTTCGTTTTCTTGACAATTGCTTTCAAATTATAATTGATCTTGAGAGGAAGCAGCCCTATTTAATGTCGGTATTTATCATAGGGAGACGTGAATATTCATCATTGGTCTAAAAAACTTGTTACCCGATTAAATCTTTGGATTATAATTAGTTTTCGTGATGAAGCTCTTGTGTCCTAGCGACTTTAGTGACGAGAGGCTCACACTTCAGACTACTTCTTCAGTACTTCATGCTTTCAAAGAATACAATAATATGGTTTGGTTCCCATCTAAATTCTACGGTGAACCTGCGAGCTACCAGCATCCCGTACAGAATAAATAGGAATATGCCGTGAAAAGTGGCAGTTGCTCCGGCTGGATGTGACCTCTGGGTTATAAGATGGCTTAAATTCTTCAGAAATCACCAGGAAGGCGATACTAATCTCCCTCTCCACCCCCCCCCCCCCCCTGCCCCCCTCCGAACTGTGATTAACCTGATTAACCATGTAATATCCAAATTAAAGCAAATCTGTATTCGAAATTCCTTACACAATAGGGTCGAGACAACCTTACAACAGATGTTCCAGCGTTTTCTCAACCAGGAGCTGGTAAAATACAATGTTTATTCCATAAAATGACAATCTGAAAGAGGGCGGTTTAAACTTAGAAGTCTCATAGATCCATTCGATGACGAATGCGCATGTTCGAAACTTAAATATCCCGTACGAGAACCCAGGCTGGGCCGCGCGTCGATTAGCTGTAAAACACATACCTTACACTTAATCTTTTCTTTGTCTTCACTGGCGCTCAGAGTCAGTACAAACACGATCATACATTCCACCATCGCAAAAAACACGAAGGTGAACGATATCAACAGATACCAGTCCAAAGCCTTGGGGTAGCTCACTTTAGGCAGGGTCCCGTTCAAGGATCCGAGGAGGAACATGATGGTCAATATGGTAGTGATTCCCAAGGCCATTCTGTTGCCCATGTCATCTTTATCCATCCAGAAAACAATCCAGCTTAGTGCTACGACGAAAATGTCTGGAAAGT